AGCCATGTTCAGAATTCAAACGCTCCGCCCCCCCCCCCCCACCCTTTTAGGTATAGCCGGTGGGCGGCGGTTGTCCCTAGCTTACCTGCGTACATAACGGTGTCCTGTATTTTGATGTGTGCACCGGGTGCATTCACCAAGCTGATGTTGAATACGCTGGGCTGTGGGTAACCATGCATACCTCCTGAATGGGAACACAACAACATGGCACGGAGAAAGAAAAGATAATTAGGCCGTGGGGGGGGGGGGGCAAAAGCACGTCAACGGCTTGCCACAGCGGTTCTTGTGCTGTGTTGCTCACAGAGGGGAATTATTGTAAAACCGTGAATTATTGGTGGTGTAATATTTTCGGTATTTCCCAAAAATCAATGGTTCGGTAGCGCGAAAATTTCCGTAAACCAGTTTTCCAGATCCAAAAATGCATTTTCCACACTGTGTGGCAGTGGCATTGTTGAATTTTAGGTCGCGTTTTTATTTCAGGTAAAAATTACCTGTACCGAAGTTGCCGAGAATAAAACCCCGCCGAAATTTTTCGGTTTTACAGTACATGTATATGTTTCTCTGTGTAAGAACGAAACAGCATGCTGTCCGCAGATTGAGTATTTTCGCTCCTGCTCTTGTAGTAGTTGGGCACTCTCATGTGGGGTAGTGCCTTTCATGTGGGGTAGTGCCTTTGCTGTTTGCATTACGCATAGCTCACTGACTTGTCAGTCTGAGCACTCTGGCAAGGTACGTTCGGGCCTGATTGGAAAATTGTATTTTCACTGCTATCAGGTTCGGCCTCATTTCATCTGTGCTGCGCTGATGAGTTCACAAAGAACGAAACAGCATGCTGTCCGCAGATTGAGTGTTTCTCTGTGTATAAAACTGTGCTCTCAAACTAATTCTAGCCATTTATTATTCTCTACCTTTACTGATGAGACCTATGGTGGTCGAAACAGCGCTGTATGGAGGAAAAACATTATTTGTCAGTATCAACAACTTGGAGTCATGTTGCTGGTGTCATGAGGTCAGCTACCGTGAGAGCGCGCTTGGTGGAGGTGAAATTGCTTTATATTGCTCACAGATCGAGCAAATCGTCAAAGAAAATGGAAAATGTAGGGCCGGTGACAGACGTTTGTTGTGCACATGTGTTAAGTACCTCCTCCCGTACCTTTTCTAGCTGGCCTGCATGCACTTGCGTACTCACCTTTTGTCTCCTTTTGTTCCGTTGGCCTGGGTAGCTACTTGCGCGCCCATATTTGCCATAGCTCCCCAGGCCCTTTATCTTGCCGTTCAGACTTGATCTCTTCCTCTCTTTTCTCACTCGTCAATAATCACCATGTAGTCGTTTCGTTCGTCTTGGTCTCTGGTCTCGTCGTCTATAATAAATGTCGTTCCCCCAACCTACCTGTTCCCGTTGTAATGTCTGGATAATGTGTCGTCAGTCGTCCTGTTTCGAATTCAACATTGGCGCCCGATTATTGATCGACCCACGACCCTGAGATCATCCCATGCCCAGCCGTCCTCAACCGCCATTCGTCTCGTCTATGTCAACCTCGTCTCGTCCATGTCAGTCTCGTCTCTCCTACGCCAACCTCGTCTCGTCTCTATCAACCTCGTCTCTCCTACGCCAACCTCGTCTCGTCTATGTCCACCTCGTCTCGTTCAAGCCATGCAGGTCAGCTACCTTTCTCTCTTTCTTTTTTTTGTATGCTTCTTCGTCAAATTTATTTTCCTGAATTTTTTTGTAGTGTGTGCGCGTGTGTTCGTAAAACATTACCAAGTTAGGGGTCCGATCATGGTGAGCCACGCTCTAATTTTTGGATGTTTAGCAAAAGTGTAACTAGGCTGTATTAGCCGTGCAAAATACTAGTAATTCACGTTCCTCGTCAAACTTCAATAGTTATTACACACTATAAGTAGTACAGGAATGATCTGTAGTGCATTTCTAGTAAACACTTTCGTGAGATCCGTGCACGCGTGCAATATGTGTGTGCGTGTGTGTGTTTTTTCTCCTCCAGTCATTTTTTAAAATCTTTTTCTCTTTTTTTCTCTCCGCGAGGACGCGGGATTTTTTTTCATGGAGGGGTGGTATGTTAAGTACCTCCTCCCGTACCTTTTCTAGCTGGCCTGCATGCACTTGCGTACTCACCTTTTGTCTCCTTTTGTTCCGTTGGCCTGGGTAGCTACTTGCGCGCCCATATTTGCCATAGCTCCCCAGGCCCTTTATCTTGCCGTTCAGACTTGATCTCTTCCTCTCTTTTCTCACTCTTCAATGTAGTCGTTTCGTTCGTCTTGGTCTCTTGTCTCGTCGTCTACTAGTATAATAAATGTCGTTCCCACTAACCTGTTCCCGTTGTAATGTCTGGATATGTCGTCAGTCGTCCTGTTTCGAACTCAACACATGGTATAACACTGCAAGATCAAGATTCCAGAGTATCTCACAGCACTCTATAGTGTACATGTACAGTGTCCCTCCGGGTGGTTGTCACGACTTATCACGGGCGTTGGAAGGTTTTCAACATTGGTGCAGCCGCACGAGTAGGTGGGGTCCCCCCCCCCCCCCCCCCGGGAAAATGTGAGGGAAATTGGGCCCAAATACCGTATTTCCCCGATTATAAATCGCACTCGATTATAAGTCGCACCCCCATTTTCAGGTTTGAGCGATATTGTTGCGATATATTCACTTCAGTAGTAAGTCATGCTTGATTGCAAGTCGCACCCCCCTTTTTACCCTTGAGTTTTAGTGTAAAAAGGTGCGACTTATAAATCGGGGAAATACGGTAGCCGATATTTCATTGCTTTAAAAGTCACGAGATGAAAGTATTGGTGCGGCTTTGGCCGGACCTGCCTCACCGGTTCTGACTCCCCTGCTCATTCTCGGAATTCCAAGTGACATCCATGCCAGGCGCTACCAGCTCTGTTGTGTGCATACCGGCGAGATGTGAGGTCAACCAATCGGGCACAGCACAGTTTTGTGTGCAATCAAGTGGGATGATCATGATCCATGAAATTGTCTTCCCTCAAACTGGGGAACGAACAAACAATCCTATATTCGGAAGGCCAATGGGAGTTAGGTACTCTTGCTAAATACAGTCAGACCTCGCTTAATTAACCGCACACATCTGTTTTCCACAAAAAAATATCCGGATAGGCGAGGGAACCGGATAATCGAACACACATAATGTATGTGTACATGATCACATACGCTATAAATCGATAACCAACGATTTTCTTCCAGATGGTGAGGTATCGGGATAGAAGATAACCGGATAAGCGAGGTCTGACTGTACACTGTTGCGCTACACGGTGAGTGAATACCTTTGAATATCAGTAGATCCGGTCGGGAGCTATTCCCTGCAGCCTCACTGGCCCACCAGACAGCACCGACCCCGTCGATGGATGCCGTCCCGCTCACACCAAGCACACTGCAGTTCGTGGGCTCCGTGAACTTGATCAAGTGGTTCTTGCCATGCCAATCAGCCGTCTCACTTGGTGCAAGTACCGTGCCCTGGACCATTCAAAACACACAGACAAACGGACGAATGGACAGATGGATACCGGGATACCGATGTAGGCCAAAATGTCAAGAATTATGTTGAATCGATGTCATGTCCATAGGTGCATGCCCCCACATCCTGCTACAACCCCCACACACCCAGAGAAGACAGGACAGGATGTGTCTGTGTGTGTTCGGGGGGGGGGGGGGGGGGAGCAGGGGTATCTGGAGTTGGATCCCGGGATGGATACCCTGATAAAGTCAATCCGTTTTCTGCATCTTGTCCTCGCCCACTTACTGAGGTGTGGTGAGCCGATAGGTGGGGTCATTTTCAAGTCCAACCAGAGTTTGGGGGTTTTAGGGGTTTCGGTCGTTGGGCACTTCAGTAGTCAATTGAGTCATCTTTCCAAGATTCTATTGAATCATTCTCTCACGTCTCCCAGGGAGACCAACGTGACCAGTTTGGGCGGTGAGCAAGTACAAGTACAAGTACAAGTGTGTGCCTGTGTGTGCCTGTGTGCATGAGTGAAAGAGAAATCAAAGCCCTGCAGCTAAATCTATTATGCTAGCAACCCATACCTCAATCACCAGCCAGGTATTCTTGCAGTCGTCCAGTCGTAGTGGTGAAGTGAGAAACTTCCCAGCAGGTACGTAGACTGTTGAGTGATTGACGGCCTTGGAAGCTGCTCGGATGGCCGCCTGGAATGCTTGTGTGCAGTTTGTCACACCATCTCCCACAGCACCATAGTCGGTGATATTGAACCTGGAAAGGAAGACAATTTCTGAAGCTTTGCCACGGGGTCATGTGAGAGCTAGGAATACCGCATTTTCCGGTGTATAAGCCACACTTTGACCACTCAAATTTCACCCAAAAAAGGGGGATGCGGCCAATACTCCAAAAATCAAACGAGAGAGCTTGGAAGCTCAGGACCCTACGCTATGCTTTTTTGCCTTGATGACCTAGACAAAAAAAAGCATAGGGATGTTATAAATTCTTAAAAAAATTCCTTTTTTTTAAGACATAACCTGGGATTCGAACCCGCACTATCGCGCGCCCTGCATGCATCCCCCGATACACTTCGCATACATACTAATTCTTCCAAGTTGCTTCACGTGATGATCTTGCATGCATTTGAAAGCCCTATTTGAATATGCATTGTGGCCAGCCGTCTTTGATGGTACGGTACGGTACGGGATAGGTACGGGACAGGTACGATCGAGGGTAATACGACACCGTCTACCGCCTTGATGACGGCAAAAAAGCATAGGGATGTTATAAATTGTTCAATTCTCCTATTTTTTTTTCAGGCATATCCTGGGATTCGAACCCGCACTATCGCCCTACATGCATTCCCCCATGCACTTCGCATTCATACCCATTCTTCCAAGTTGCTTCACGTTATGATCTTGCGTTTGAAATAGTCTAGGAGCCAAGTCAGCAAAAGTCCAAGGAATAAGGAGTTAGTGTGACACCTTGCCCAGGAAAGATTTTTTGACGGATTTGGAATGGCATATCAACCAGTAACTGATCCCTGAAAACCAGAACGTGCCAAAGTTGTCCATTCAAGAGTTATGGCCGATTTACTAAAATTGCCATGGTTACCATAGCAACTTACATGTAAATTGCCTCTTTTTAGCTCAAAAGACATGCAATATGGGTCAAATAGATAATGAATGGCTGTCAAAGTCATAAGTGAAGATAAAAGTTCCCAAAACTGCCTTCAAAATAATTATAAATGTCATCAAAAGTGAATTATTTAATACTGGTGTGGTTTGTATATGTACAATGTACATTGTACATGTATTTGGTATCATTATTACATTGTATGTAGAGGTAGTATCACAGTTACTTATCAGTGGGAAATTTCTGTATGGTCACCAGGAGCAGCGCTTGACACTGGCACACTGAAGTACGAAATTAGAACTGTTCAGTATGCTTCACAAACAAGGAATGAATCTGCCCTACATGTAGGTGCAGTGACCGTGCAGAAGGGTGAGTCGTCAGGCAAAGCTGTTGCAGCTCTTCGCTAGTCCTTTTCTCTATCCTCCAGCGACTATGTGTCAAGCTGCAGCAAAAGCTCTGGACCTGAAATCTTTGATGGCCATCGGATGGAGAGGTTGTAGCATACCATCAATGGGCAGCGGGATCTGGGATACCATCATACCAGGCTGAGTCTCCTGAAAGAGCTGCCTGGAAGGTGGCTGTGGCTATACGGCTATACATGTAGTTATGGGAGTCTTGGAAGGGGGACGACTCATGGATAGCCCACTGGAGTCATGAAGAAGGGCTGTTATTGTGCCTCGTTGACAGATGTAGTCGCTGGAGGATAGAGAAAAGGACTAGCGAAGAGCCGCAACAGCGTTGCCTGACGACTCACCCTTCTGCACCAAGGTCTGGGGCAGATTCATTCCTTGTTGGTGAAGCGTACTGAACAGTTCTTTTTTGGATGGAGAGCCAAGGATAAATTTATAGAAAGGAAAAAGGACCATTGAACTGCAAGCTATGCTAGAATATCCACGAACACCACCAGTTACTAAACAATCACCTTCCCCTCATATGTTATCATATACATATAACTTAGAACCTTCCAAGTTGGAAGGCTAGTGTAGTGCGCATCCAAGATGTGCTAGCCACTGCTAGAGCTGTTAGCCAGTTAGTTGTAGAACGTCAGTACCGTCGGTCAGTGTCGTGCAATGTTATCGCATGAGCTGATTGTTCAGTAACTAGTGGTGTTAGTGGATTATAGCGTAGCTTGTAGTTCGATGGTCCTTTTTCTTTTCTGTAAATTCTTGTTTTGTACTTCTATGTGCCAGTGTTAAGCTCTGCTCCTGGTGACCATACAGAAATTTCCCACTGATAAGTAACTGTGATACTACCTCTACATACAATGTAATAATGATACCAAATAAATGTACACTGTACCTTGTACATGTACAAACCACACCAGTATTAATTAAATAATTCACTTTTGATGACATTTATAATATTTTGAAGGCAGTTTTGGGAACTTTTATCTTCACTTATGACTTTGACAGCCATTCATTATCTATTTGACCCATATTGCATGTCTCTTCAGCTAAAAAGAGGCAATTTACATGTAAGTTGCTATGGTAACCATGGCAATTTTAGTAAATCGGCCATAACTCTTGAACGGACAACTTTGGCACATTCTGGTTTTCAGGGATCAGTTACTGGTTGTTATGCCATTCCAAATCCGTCAAAAAATCCTTCCTGGACAGGGTGTCACACAGCTCATTTCTGATGACCCCCTGGCTCCTAGACTAAAAGCCCTATTTGAATATTGCTGCCAGCTGTGTTTGATGGTACGGTACGGTACGGGACAGATACGGGATAGCGCCAGGCGTGACACAAACACACAAACAAACACACAAATACCAAATTAAAGCTGTGTGGACCCTGGCTAGCGCCAGACGTTACTGAAGTAACGTCTTCTGCATAGCTACGGGAATTAAAAAATAGATATAAACAGGTCAGTTTGAGCACTCCGGCAAGGTAGGTTCGGGCCTGGTTGATTTATTTTTCATTGCTACCAGGTTCGCCCTCATTTCCTCTGTGCTGCGTTGATGAGTCCACAAAGAACAAAACAGTTCTGTTCGCAGATTGAATACGCTAGATATCTGCATTTCGTGGCAAAAAAAAAAAAAAAACGTGGGGTGCTATACTTCAGTGTGGCTCGTGCTCTGGAAAATACGGTAATTACCATGGGGACTTTCTACAGTGCCCATGCTTACTCCACCAGCAGAGAAACGTAGCATTTTTGCAGCCGACACGAGAACAGAACACTAACAAAAATGTGTGTCTTGACCCCAGGCCATGATTCGGAAGTTCTTCCGCGATCAGTGAACTGTTCAGCTTGCGATAGCAATCCTGATCTGCTGACCCCAAGTGTGGCCCAGCAATTGCAGAATATGGAGGCGTACATGGTTCGGCCCTGCGCCCAAGGGAGGACAAGAATAGCTTCACATGCATTCGCTTTAGGTTTCGCCATAACTTCACACTCAACATCAAGAGCAGAAACCAGGAGAGGATCTAGCTAACTCTGCTCTGACTGTAATTTTCGCCATTGCCGAGCCACCGTGCTCACAGCAGAGACTTCTGCGTGTGTTATTGTTGTGAACGGAGAACACAAAGACAACTTGTTTCGTCTCAGTGGACACGACTTTTGAGCGTCGGGAGTAACATCCTAAGATTGTGACCCCCACCATCCATGCCACATATACCTTCAGGGGTGTAGCCGGTCCTCCCTTCTAGGGGGGTGCACGGCCGTATATGTGTAGGCTGGTGCATGTCATTCATGGTTATTATGTGCATACTGAACCTAGGTCGAAATTGTTAGCCCCCCCCCCCCCCCTCCATGCTCCATGCGAGCTATGCGCTTTCACCTTAGACCTCAGATGCCCATTGCCAGAGGCAATGGTAGTGATGCTACAGCCTAAATAAGCCTTGTGATGTGAAACATGTGCAACGCTGGAATTGCACTACCGGTCAACAACTTGTAAGGCTGAAGAATTGACCGCCACCCTACTGTGCTTTTTGAAGCACACACAAAACACGTACACACAAACACACACCATGAACCATGTATACGCCCGTCGCAAGAGAAGCACGCAAATCTGCAAATGCACTTGATATGCACCCCCAGATTTTCTCTTATAGCAACGATAGCGAACAAGATCTGAATGAGACAGATCAAGACTTGCGCCAGATAACTGTCTAATCCACGCACACGCGCGCGCACACACACACACACACACACACACACACACACACGCACACACACACGAACACACACACACACGCACACACACACGCACACACACACACACACACACACACACACACACACACAAACACAAGCACTGCTCTGGACTTACAAACTCACACGTGTCTCTCGTCGCTCTGAACGCCCTCCGCCATTTCCATCCGATCATTCATTCTTCCATTCATACCTGCCACATTGGTAAAGCTATCGAGGTCAAAATTTCTACTCCTCGCTGTCACTTCTCCACGATCCCTCCTCTCATTCAGAAGGTCTGCTTCAGGGCCAAGGCAAGCCACATGGCTAGTAAGCGACGTAATGAGCACCAGTAGCATAGCGCAGAAGACAAGCTCCAGAAGCCGTTCCGAAGCTTGTCGACGTGCAGAACGACCGCTCAGCAGCATTGTGGCTGTTTTAGTGTGGGTCAACCGTGTTCGACCGGAGGCCGGAGCTCCGGGGCCGGGGGAAAGTAACACGACGGTGGACACCGGTAGCTGCGTGGTCACAACACACAGAGCGTTTCGGATAGGCTACGATGGATCCCCGCTACCAACGAAGACATAGGCATACTGCACGTAGTACTTCTATCAGTAGCCGAGAAAGAGAGGAAAGCTGCTGTTTGCACTTTGTAGAAAGAGAAAAAGAATGTTTAGAAATTCCATAGAAAGATTGGCCGTTGATAGCTGCAGAAAGCCAACTCGGCAACTGTCACCAGATCACGCAGTCAGTAGATCTACATGACTTTCTGTTGACATGACTGGTATACCTGCATGTGGCAGTGCTGTAGAGTGTAGTGTCGCAGGATCTGGCTCGAAATGGGGGCAATCAGTCATTCACACACTTGCCCGGTTACCCAGTAGTCCCAATGTCATGGCATGCCCAGACTGGGAGTAGGAGTAGGAGCCCACCTCAGACTCAGTCCTGAACGGTCCTTGCATTCACCTAGCACAGCTGTAACAGCTCCAGCCTTTAGAAGACAACCAATTAGGACAAAGATGGAATTTAAAACATGGGCGTCGGAAACGTTTTCCGTTTGGCCGGGCTTCACTGCAGTTTGGTCCGGCTGTTGTACGGTAGTGAGGAACACACGCCAGCACCCCCCCCCCCCATACACAAACAACACATGCCACCCCACCCCCCACCCCCATACACACACATACACAAACAACACATGCCCCCCCCCCCCACCACCCACACAACACATGCCAGATCCCCACCACACACATACACACACACACACACACACGCGCACACCAAACACAATACAAAGCCAACCGAGGCGAGGCACTGAAGTAGGAAGCAGCTCTTGGGTAATTCCACAGCACAACACTCACAAGCAGTACAGGCACGCAATGGCGGAAGATGATAAGCCTGTTCAAGCAGCATGTCACCAGCAATGAGAGTCAAAGAACAGACTTCAAATCTGCCTGTGAGAGAGAGAGAGAGAGAGAGAGAGAGAGAGAGAGAGAGAGAGAGAGAGAGAGAGAGAGAGAGAGAGAGAGAGAGAGAGAGAGAGAGAGAGAATGTGTGCTCACACCCAGGCTTTTCATGCAGGATCTCTGGACTCACTAACTTACATTCTTCGTCTTCATATAACTATTATACTAACACATCTGTGTCTCACAACTGCAGTGCATAATGCGCTCATCGCAAAACCTCTAATGTCACATCGGGACACAACAACGCAAAACGTAGTGTTGGACGCAAAAACTACAATATAAAAAACACACATACAGATAAAATTAAAAAATTCAAGTCGTCATATTGTCTGAAAAACATGAGCCCTCAGAGCGCGTAAACAAACTACGCTCAATCTGCGGAGAAACGAATAAAATATATAATTTCAAGTTTGCGCCGATACTTCTGCAATTAGCCCACTGAACGAGAGCTGGCTCAGTCTGCGGAGAAATGAATTAAAAATAATTTAAGTTTGCGGCAATACCTCTGCAAGTAGCCCAGTCAACGAGAGCTGGCTCGGCAAGTGTCGGAAGTTGACACAGCAGTCAGCTGTGTTACAGGTATGTCCGAAACACGTTGGTCACAGCATCGAGCACGGGGGGCGCTGTCGGAACTTCACCAGCGGCAGCAAGCATTGCTTCGGACCCCTCTTCTTCGTCGCGGGTGAAGAACGCAAGAGATTAGCCGTGAATAGTTTGGTCTGTGGAGGTGAAAAGAGCGCAGAAGTAAAGCACAAAGACAGCATCCATAACACAGAAACACAAGCACACCATCTGTCTGTGCTGCAAGCAGATACCGCATAACATTATGATGACAGTTGTCTAAGGGGTCGTCGCAAAAGTTTCTTGTCGTTCGTTTCGTACTCGGACCCCCTCCCCTCCCTCTGAAACAAACGCAGCTTGCCATGCTGGATGACGAAAATCGCATGCATGTACATGTACATATTGTTACAGTGTCGGTCGACTTGTGATTTTGGCTCGCACCCCCCTCCCCCAAACGAACGATGTTCGTTTCAGGGACGACAAAAACACTTTTGCGACGACCCTTTTAAAGAGTTGGTGGACAAGCCGTTGATTATCCACTCTCATTGTAATATCAAAAAAGTATTCTTTCTAGACAAAGTATTCTTTATCCACTGACGATGTTGTTCAGAACAACGAAACGTCTGGAGAAGTATCGTAAATATTTCTATCGAGATTAAATTTTATCAAATATACCACTCTTTGGTCTAGAAAGAATGCTTTTTTGACCCTTTTAAGAACCTCAGGCTGAGTAGAGCGCTCTATGTCCAGTGGACAGAGCCAGAAATACAGTCCTCACACGGCAATCACGCAACCAAGTCTTTTTTCTGCCGCTACTCAGAGTTTCCTGTCATTACTGTGTGAGCACCGTAACACTTTGATGACATGGAATGCGCATAAAAAAACTAGGGGTGAAAATAATAATCTTAACTCGGATGGCGAGCCAATAAGATCATGGGTATGAAGAAGATGGCAGGGGCGTCGGACACGGTACGGTCACTACGGTATTGACCGTACCACTCTTCGCCCCAGGTACCCCGTGAATCAATAAAACACACTGATCTGGGATCTAAAATTCCAAAATTTTCGGCTCAGCCAAAACTCCTCCACGCGTAAATTGTACAGTTCAGATGGCTGACCGTACCACACTAAAATACCATCCGACACACCTGAGAAGGGCAAAATGTCTAGCTGTCCACCAAGGGAACCAGCTCATAATATACAGTCAGAAATGTCTCGGGACTACTGGAAGTCTCCAGTCAGTTGTTATGCCATTTTGTCGCAACTCACTGACTGTGTAATTATGATCTGGTTACTTTGGAGGACAGTTAGTCAGAACTCGTAACATGTTGTCCTCTTTCCTATCCATGGTGAAAGAATCAAACCAATTACTGTAAAAGCCATATATATATATATGTTAGGTTGAGTTGGGTAACTCCGCTCTTCTTCCTCGCTCACCGGAGGAATTTCTCTAGTCTCCTCGCGCAACTGGGGAGCACTCCAATGGAGAGAGAAAGATTTTTATAGGGCGGCTTGGTGTGAGAGGTGGACTGAGACTTGACGGCGCTAACGGCGAATATCAAGACCTTACGGCCACGGAGCTGCGGGACTCTGCGCTGGTCGTCTATCCGTGTGGAGGCAAAGCAAACGCGGGCAACATTCTGCTGAAGCGAGCGTGGAGCTGAAGCTGGATTGGTGACTGACGTACCTGCTTACTCCACAACACCGGCGCATAATGATGTGCATGTACAAGACTTCGTGAGTATTCAACTCAAATTCGTGTTCCGTCAGCGTCAGTATCAGCAAGTACAGTCATGTAGTACAATTTGTTCCCAAAATAACTTCGGGACAGTCTGTTCATGGTTTTCATTTGTATTGGACTCGTTCTCTACACTTGCGATAATTTAGCGGCAATTCTAACGTTGTAGCGTTGTTCTCTTGTAATTTAGTGGAACCTGTATTGAGTAACTGAGTTTTATGTTTCGTTACATTGTCGTCAGATCTCCTGTGTACCGGTTTTGTGGCACAATGATTATAGCCATTATATTTGGTCGTCTCCATTCTTGTGCAATCATGCGTACATGTATGTAGGTTGGTTCTCTTCATGTTATTGTGACCAATTTCATAGATGTTGGTTGCCTTGTTGCTTTCTCTCCCCTCTCCTCTCACCCAAGCCATTCTGCATAAGCGAAGCTGTGGACGCAGCATACTGCTGCTACACTTCAACGCGGGAATGCGTATAATAATAATAATATGTATATGTTATCGCATGGTTGCAAGGGCCTTATGGCATATTATTGCCCCGAGAGGTTAGCCCGAGGGCCGTAGGCCCGAGGGCTAACCTCGAGGGGCAATAATATGCCATAAGGCCCGCAGCAACCATATGCGATAACAAATTTATCACATGGCCCACAGAGCAGACCATTGGGCTGCTGTTGAAATTAGCCCAAATGCCAACACATTATGACCACAATGTATATTGATGTGCTATCATTATCAAAACAGGAAAAATGAAGATATTTCTCCTACACCCTAACAAAAAGTCTGCTACAGGCCATCAGAGAGTATACAGTACTGAAAGACGGAGACAGAAAAAAAATGCCGGCACCGCATCGTCATAGCAATAGACATGGCAACGACAATAAAATACAGCAGAATCATAATTTCAGTTGAAAAATTAAGAGTGCTACCACAAAGAGTTTCTTCATGTTTACATGTGTATCAGGAAGTTGTCAAATACAGTACTGCAACAAGTGCAAGTATTTGACGACTCCCTGGTGTGTAATTCTGAGGACAATTTTTCTTCTTTTTTTCAGCTCCAGATAGCTGTATTTTTCATTGCAAAACATTCCTGAATTGTTGTGTTTGTTGTTCAAGCAAAGGTGAAGGCAGAGGACAGATGAGCCTGGTAAGAGTTTTGCGTGGCACATGAAGACCACACACAGGCAGTGACTTTGCGAGGATTTGAAAACGCACGACGCTGAGTTGAATTTGTGTTATTTCAAATAATTGTTTGTGATCACAGTACCACTTCGAGCAGAACTGAATCTTATCCACAAGCTTACCGACGGTCAGGCTGCCAACATGACTGAACAAATGATCCCTTCAAGCACCACACGGCAGACGTCCGAGGCCATGTCCATTGCCGGGATGTCCATCTCCAAAAAGAATTCCATCTTCGTCTCTACACTGCGACTCGTCGTAAGAGTCGTACAGTCTACAGAGTCGTCGTATAGTCACGCGATCACTGAAATAAACTATTTTTTTGCGGGCAAATAAACTATTTTTTTGCGGGCAATATCGCATATTATTGCCCGCGGCGCGAAAGGTGCTGATTCGCTGGAGTACGGGCAACAATCACGTGCCATGTGATAAATATATATAACGAAGTACTAACTCTAACGAGTTAACGAGGAGAAATCTGTCGTTAAAATAGAAATCGTTATACAGAAATCGATACTTATACTGTCCTATTGAGCGTTGAGAATGGGTGAGAATCGTTACCTTTGGTACACGTAAACTACCGTATTATCTCTAATATAAGCACAGTCTCCAATAATAGAACACCTTGGGGCGGCATTCAAAAAATAAAGTGCTCAGTCTCCATTATAAGCACACTGTGTAAATTCATTATCTGTACCGGCGAAAAAACCCTGAAATGTGTGTGTCTGACATGAATTTGGCCATGGCAACATGCCTCTGAAATGAGGTTGAAATAATAATGGAACAGTCTCCAATAAAGGAACGTCTCCAATAATAGCACGGGGCGGAGGTACATTGTAAAAATAAAGGACCGTGCTTATATTAGAGATAATACGGTAGTCAATTTTGGGAAATCGTTATACTGTAAATATACAAATTTTCGGCAGCTATTTAATTTCGGCTATATTCGGCACCGACCCAAAACGCCTAAATTAAAACGCCGATGAAATTTTTCACAGCATCTGTCGCACTATACCATGCCCTCTACTCCACGCCGAAAATAAATCGCCGCCGAAATGTCAAAAAATCGTGAAGTGCCGAAATTTTGCAGCGCCGACATTTTGTATATTTACAGTATATGCGCCTCGTTAGAATAATGGCTTTTACAGTACTATGATGTTTGCATTGAGTGATGCTGGAACCAAAAGCAGCCCTTGACTTGCTTTCGAACGCATTTTGTATGTGCGTATGAATACGTGCGCTCTGGTTGGAAAGAAGTGTGAGGGAAAGAACATCCCTCTCCTGAACACACAGCACACATGCATACACACATACACACAGCACACCCCCAGACACACACAGCATGCGCACACACAGCACCCCCCCCCCCCCCACACACACACACCGCATACACCCCCCCCCCCCCCCCCCCTCCCCCACAGACACACACATCGAGCAGACTAACTCCCGGCCTTACACTCCGTTCTTGACTGCCTTGAGGACACGTGCACCCAGTGCGACAGCATGGAACATAGCACAGCACCGACAACACCGGAACACGCCACAAGGAACCCGGTGGACGGGGACGTGATGTAGTCAGGCAAGAACATGCTATACGCATCGGCATCCACGTCCTGAAAGACACCGGCGGCGATTCCCATCGACGTGCCTGGCCAGGGTAAAGAGGACATCAAATCACGAGAATTACCGTTATTCATGGTTTGAGGGAAAATCCGAAGAAAAAAATCGACTGTCACCACAGACTTGAACCAGGGACCTTCGCTTGAGGCCAGCGATGTTCTAACCACTGAGCTACGGCGTAGCTGTCATCCCAGCACAGACCGTTCAACAACAACCGTACTTCCCCGAATATAAATCTTACACCTTTTTACACTCAACTACAGGGCCAACAAAGGGGTGCGACTTACAATCGAGCATGACTAAAGCTGTGTTCACAACTGGCGCGTGTACGCAGTACGCTTGCGGTTCATGCGTGCCCAAACGCGCGCTCAGGCTTTCACAAAAAAACAGCAATCCGAGTCGTGTTTAGTGCGTGCGACACCTTCGAGTACTAATTTTTGACCCCGCCAGTCAAGGTGACTGGCATGTACGCTGGTACGCGCCTGATACGCGCTGAAAATTCCAACATGTTGGAAGTTCCATCTCGGCGCGTTTCCGTACGCATGGCACCCCAAAAGCCAGCAAAAATACGCACAAACGCGTGGTTTCACGCGTACACGTGCCAGTTGTGAACACAGCTTTACTACTGAAGTGAATATATTATTGAAACGATACCACATGGCCCTGAAAACGGGGATACGGGGGGGGGGGGGGGGGGGAGGGAGGGGGTTGTCCATACCGGCCAACCCTCCCGGTTTTCCCGGGAAATCAACAATACTCCCGTGGTCCTGGGGATTTCAAGTAAACTCCCGGAAAAGTCACATTTTGTCTGATACAGAATGTTCCTGAAAACTCCATGGATCCGCCTTGAATGTCCCGTAGATCTACAGTGTGCAGTCGCACTTCGACTGTGCACGACACTTTCAAGACCTGACCAGCTTAGCCTGCAAGATCTGCAATAACAGGCGCGCCAGGTGGGCGCCGACTGATCAAACTGCACTGCACGGTCAAAACTGTGCTGTACGCCGTCGAAAGTTTTTTTTGGCGGGGTACAGCTCTTTTTCACTTAGTTTTGTGCCATCCAGGGATTTTGAGAGAATTCCAGGGATTCTGCATGTCTTGTCAAGGGATTGAGATTTTGGTGGTTGGTCAGTATGTATGTCATACATGTACGTCAAACGTGGGCTGGAAGTTGACCAATACAGGGAAAGGGCAACAAGTTTCATTCATTTTCCCGTTTGTCTCTTTCCCTCAAACTAGTGAAGTTTCATTCTCCTAATGATAATCTCAGGCATTTTTACACTGTGATGTGGTATTAGGGATTACCTTGAGTTAGCATGATAACACAGAGAATGTTTTCAAGACTCCTCTCTTAGGCATATTTTCCCATCACTCTTCCACCACCATGGCCATCCATGCATCCACACACACACACACACACACGCGCGCGCGCGCGCACACACACACACACGCACACACACACACACACACACGCGCACACACACAGACACACACATACAGTCAACTTCGCTAATAACGACTGCGGATATAACGGCAGTACGCGAATAACGACAGCATTTCCATGCCCAGAGCAAAGTCCCATCCAACTGTAAAACATATGGCCCAGAATCTGCGAAAACCAGGCTTAGGGTGAAATTTCACAAAATGACTTTTTCCCATTTTCAGCTTCTACTGGGCATGGGAGGTCAGGAAACAAAATATTACAGGTGTGGGTCGACTCATAGTGGTATTAAAAGTATCTCAAACACACCAGGGTATTGTGTTAAAAAATCCAAAAAAAAACACAAAATTGTTTCCACAGGAAAGAAATGAAGAGAGATCCACCAGAGTGAAGGAAGAGACATGGTCACATGGATGATTTTTGTTGAGGTGACGTGACAAGGTAGGCATGTGGGGGCAGAATTGTTGTGGCCCCTTGGTGCTGCAGGCTGTAGTGGCCATGCACAGTTCTGCAGGAATTTTGTTTGCTCCTTACTCAGCACATTCTGGGGCTGCATACATGTACTGGCATGTTCTGGCGCTACACACCACAATGAAACCCGACTCCAGTTGAGATGGCACCTTTTGAAGGGTGAATCTAGTACAACTATTCAAAAACAAGCAAGAACACGGCCTTTCAAACGTTCCACTGTTCATAGTATGCGCATAATGTGCTGGCATGCTGCAGTGTCTGCTTGGTGCTGACCAGCAAGTGAAATCTCGGCACGCCGTATACGCGTACAATCCCTTGCAGCTAGCTGTCCAGCGCGAGCGAGGAAAGTCTCGAGTGGAGGCCTCTCGATCTGCTCGCTCATTCGCTTGGCATTCAGTAGCACTTCATCGCCAAGGACTTCAATTCAAAACAGTTTTCACACTGCGCTTCTAGCCTTTTTCCTTGTGAACTTGCTGCAAACGTACGAGCTCTGCTGCGCGTGTTCCCTTCGCGTGAAGCCCAGAAACAGCTAGTACCTCCGTACTTCGGTCGGCTGGATCGATGTCGTCCAGGTTCTCCTCGCTATCGCCATCACGACTCTAACTGGAGACGATTTCTTCACCATTTTCCACAAGCAGCAGTTAGCGCAAACATTTCGCCATCCCTGAGTGAAGGAGATGGAATCCGTTCGATCAGCTCAAAAACTCTTCGTTGTGACTAGAGGAATAGCAGGAAATATTCTACCGGAAGCCCTTTGACTTCCCTGACTGCTGAAACCCTTCCTGCCATGACTGCTACTTTAGTACTTCTTCAAACAAGCGAGATTCTCTTTGGTTCCACTTCACTGCACTCGAGCGTCCACGCGACACAACCTTTTTACAAAACATCATTTTTCTCAAAAAAAAATGATTTTCACCCTAAGCCTGGTTTTCGCAGAAGTTGGGCCATATTGAGACTTCGGGTATAACGACACTTCGCGAATAAGGACACTTTTTTGATGCCCCGCCGAGTGTCGTTATAAGCGAAGTTGACTGTACACACACGCACATCATAGATCCCCCTGCCCCAAGCTCGGGGCTCCAGTGTGGACAGGAACCAACTTCCAAATAAATGTATCGCCGTAGTCGTTACAACTATTTAAAAAAATCAATAAAACCGGTCCAACAGGACTTGATTGTGACCCTCCACTCACCACTAAGCAAAGAGAACAGCTTAGGCAGCAGATAAGCTAGACGATGGACTTCATTCTTCTCCAGCAGAAGACCCAGCACCAAACCACCGATGAAGAAGAGACAAGACATGACACTGAACGCACGGGCTGTTTCAACCGAACCTGAGGCACAGAAAGAGATGGGCGAAGAGAGAAGAGGTTAGTTTGATGCCTTTTCTCGGAAGGTGCAGATCACATGTATGATGACTGACGACACACACGCACGCACACACACACGCACACACACACACACACACATTTTAGCTTTTCTCTTCGGGCAGTAATCCTTACCTGTTAAGGTAGTGCTGTTGTAAGTAACACACTCATTGAGAGCACTGTCATTCGCACCATGGAAGCAGACCTTCCACAGACCGAGAGCGATTGTGCGGCCATCGTAATCCAGTGTCTCGACATCCAATGCTTCGGCTTTGTTAAAAGCTGGTATGCCTGGAGTCAGTCAGTGGATGTACAAACATGAAATGCACAGAGGCAGAAAAGTGAGTCCATTAGTATAACCAAGAGTACATAACCCCCAAGAGTGTGCAACTGCCTGCACAACCTCTATGCTGTGCTGCGACTTCACATCACGTGACATGGTTCAAAAGGTTACGCTGGCAAACAGTGCAAAGGGACCACAAGAGAGTTGTACCCGAAGCTGGGCTGCGTACAACCCTGTATCTATCATGCACAGAGTGCAAATAATGTGTACGTTTTCATCACGTGATGTGAAGTTCTGCCGTCGCAGACCCCATAGCTGGAGTTGCACACTCTTGGGGGTTATGTACTCTTGGTATTGCCAAGAGTACATAACCCCCAAGAGTGTGCAACTCTGCACATGGGGGTCCGCGCGGCGGAATTCCAGCATAACGTCAAAAACGACGTACACATTCCTTGCGCTTGTACTACTCCCTGGTTCCAAGCACCGCGGAATGCAGAGTTTTGTACAGCTGTGCCCCCGCGGCATGACGTAATGTTGGAATTCCGCCGCGCAGTGAGCCTACAGCAGCCAGACCCTAGTTGCACACTCTTGGTAAGACCAAGAGTCCATAACCCCCAGAGTGTGCAACGTGCGATAGGGTCTTGAAACGACTCGGTTTCAACATTATGTCATTTTCATGTAGCGAATGTCGCGGCCTGCACGCGCAGCTACATGAAAATGACGTAATGTTGAAAACGAGTCATGACAGAGATTTGTGTGGCGTTGCACACTCTTGGGGGTTATGGGCTCTTGCTATTACTGTATATAAAGTAGGGCTCAAACGATTAGTCCGATTAACCGGTTGCAGACCGGTTACGAAGAATTAATGGTTAACCGATAAAGATAACGGTTACGCAGTAACTTTTCAATCAATTTTTCAAGTATCAGGTCGTTGCAAAGTGTGCACTTTCGCGGGCTGTCGCACGCGTACGCAATTTCTGGGCTGTCAACTCGGTCATATCTGGTCTCTTGGTGTGAGAGTATGTATGAATGAGCATGCAAGAGAATGTACGAGTGTGCGTTGTACTGAATAGGGTACATTTTTTGAATGAGTATAGTCAAATATGCGGTTAAAAAAGAGTCCGCAGGATTGCCGTGGCTTATAGGTTATAACCGGTTAACCGACCGTTAGCTTAGCAGTTAACCGTCAGGGGTAAAACCGTGACCGTTTGAGCCCTAATATAAAGTCAACAAATATTCAGCGCATACTTATTTTCGGCTATTTTCGGCCTGGTCATGTTTGGCCGAAAATGTGTTGCGGCTGAAATTTTGTTTTGCAAGATTCAGTGTGACAGTGTATACAGGCAGCAGCAGTACAGGTCGAAAATTTGTTGCAGCCGAAATTTGAATGGGCCGAAGATTTGTCGACTTACGGTATCGGGGGAATGCCTGTTTTGATTCCCACTCTAGATAAGGTATACATCGGGTTGATCGTCACGCTAACAGTAACAGTACGCCTGTGTTAGAAGTAGGTGAAATCCAACCTTTTGCAGGAAGTGGGTGGGTCACCCTTTTCAAAATAAGGTCCAGGCCATGGCCAGACCGGGGGTACTACAGCACGGACATGGTGTGTATGTGGGTGCGTGTGTGTGTGTGCGTGTGTGTGTGTGCGTGTGTGTGCATGTGTGTGTGTGCGTGCATGCGTGTGTAGAAAGGGAGGGGACAAGCGTAGCAAAAACTTGGGACAGGCGTGGTTTTCTCTTTTGCAACCCAACAGATCGCATGGAACAGTGCAAAATGATGAAGTGAGTAGAAAATGATTATCTACACACATACAGAACGAAATGAGTGCTGAACCGTGTTAGATCTGCAAAGAGTCTCTTGAAAGCACCCCTTTTGGTGCAGTAAATTTGTACGGATGACATCACGATAATCAGTATTGTATTGTGCACGCGGCATTGCTGCATGCAGTTGCGCAACTGACAATCTGCCAAAAAATAATTCTTGCTAAAGTGAAGAATCGAAAAAACGAACAGCACTTACAGTGAACTGCCAGCAATAGACACAGGGTGGCCACGGACACCGTAGCCAGCAGCACCTTTAGCTGTTCTGCCATCTTGTCCGGACGTCCGCGTGTCTTCTTTCTCAGCTGGTTCTATGCCCCTTCAACAGCAATGCAAGCCACTTGTCAAACGTCTGCAGCTAGCAGTCGGCAATAAATCTGGTCCACTTTTCGCCTTGATCAGAAAACGGCCGCATGGATTTGAACCAGATCAGGCGCGGTTGAAAAGCTGCAAATTTCGTGCACGGTGACCGCGTAGATCTACGTACCGGTCGATCGACCATGCATGATGTGACCGGCCGGGTACCGGGTGTACGTGTGGCACATGTAGATCTACATGCATGCATGATGCATGTGAGAGGAGGGTAATAAGGTACGATCGAGGGTACAACCGGACCTGATTTTATGTTAACAGCCTTTTTTTACGGCCAAAAGCAACACAGTAGTAGTAGTAGTAGTAGTAGTAGTAGTAGTAGTAGTAGTAGTATTCTTTTATTTTCCATCGGAAGCCTCAACAGTGATGAACACAACTCTTAAGAGGGCCGATAACAGGGTAGAGGGGTGTGGGGTGAGAAAAAAAATAATAATAAGAGATATTTAAACTAAACTAAACTGATACTTGGAACAATAAAGCAGCAGTAAGCAGTAAGCAGTAAACACAGGTATACAATACAAGCGATGCAGATCAATGAGGCCGTTTGCTGAAAAGAAGATCTAAATACTTCTGAAAAGACGCTGCGTCTTTAAGCATGGTCATAATGGGATAGTGCAAGAATTAAAGAGATGTTTTTAAAAACGAATTTAAACTAGGGACGCAGTAAACACAGTTATACAATACAGGCGGTGCAGATCAATGAGGGAGTTTGCTGAAAAGAAGATCAAAATACTTCTGAAAAGACGCTGCGTCTTTTAGCATGGTCTGAAGGTGCTTAGCAAATGTAGTGCGGTGCTGGGTGCGCCACTCCACAGGCAAAGAATTAAAGAACAGGGCAGCACGATTTGAAAAGGAATTGACACCGTCAGTCGTCCGGAATTTAGATATTGCAATAGCAGCATTAAAAGAGCTTCTTGTTGTCCTAGGGCCGGTTGAAACTTGAGGGAAAAGGTCCGTCAGATTTGGGAGAGGGAAAACGACATGATTAACATGGATAAATTTAGCAATGCTACGAATAAGGTAATGTTCAAACGGATCAATCGACAATCTAGCTAACAGCGGCATGACGTCCTCTTGTAGTTTCGAGCCACAAGCAGCGCGTACAGCACGACGATAAACGGACGAGAGTCGCTGTCGGTCCTTGGCGGATAGCTTCATTGCAAAGCAAGAGCAGCAGTATAATAAGTCAGGCAGGATAACCGAGAGGATAAACTGCCGTGTTGCCTTCAAACTTAGTTGCCGAAAACACCGTCGAAGAGCGCCAATTTTCGTGCAAGTCTTCCTAACGATAAAGTCTATGTGACCAGACCAAGAAACATCACTGTCTACAATGACTCCCAGGATTCTCGTGCTAGACACTTGAGTCAGAGGCTGTTGGTTAAAAACGATTGGAGTTGAGAGGGGTTGAGAAGACTTAGAAATCATCAAAGTTACAGTCTTTGTTGTATTAATGCGCAGCCCAAGCTCGTCTAGATCCACAGAAATTGCAGATAACGAACCAGTAACGGTAGCGACGGCCTCAGCTTGTGTACGTCTGCTGGCATACAACGTCATGTCGTCAGCGAACATCGGGAGCTTGCAAGAAAAGGCCTCTGCTGTCAATGGGAGCTTCCGTACATATATGTTAAATAGCACCGGACCAGAATGGTGCCCTGTGGCACGCCACTAGTGATTGCCACCAACGGAGATGTTCCAGTGTGGGTAACCACCCGCTGTTGTCTGGCACAAAGGTATGATCGGAACCAGGCCAGGGCCACTCCCGAAATACCGACAGCTGCGAGAGCAAGAAGAAGCTGTTGATGCTTCACCATATCGAACGCTTTTTTCAAATCAATACAGACAACCGCCGTATGCAGTCCAGCGTCGCGCGAAACAAGCCAGTCGTTCGTAACCTTGGTGAGAAGCTGTCCGGTAGAACGGTGCTTCCGAAAGCCAAACTGGTCCACATGGAATGGGCAACGATCATTAAAAAAAAGATGTATACGAGAAAACACAAGCCCCTCCAGGAGCTTGGCTAGGATAGATGTTAAAGACACTGGGCGGTAGTTAGAAGGGCAGTCGCGGGGGCCTTGAGTTGACTTCAGAATTGGTGTAATGTTTGCAATTTTGAACAAGGATGGGAATTGACCAGACGAGAGGGAAGTGTTGAATAAGATAGCAAGTGATAGAGCAATTACGTCTTTTGATATTTTAAGTAGACACGGAAGAATGCCGTCCGGTCCAGGGGCTTTATTACTTTGGAGGTCACCGATCCGAAGCTTCACCTCTGCTACTGTAACGGCTGAAAACGTAGTAAGGTCGTCGGATTTAGCAGGTCCCATTGGGAGCTTGTAATTCGCTTCCTTATCTGTGACAATCGAGTGAAAATAGTCGTTCAATCGCTCAGGTGGGATGGTAACCGTTTGCTTCGGAGAGGACACAGGACATGATAATCTAGACGTCTTCCTATCTATCATAAATTTTAGGAAGACGTCTCGTCTAGACACACAGGTGTGGGAATTTTGTCATGAGACTTGAAAGCATTCTACAACCAATGCAAAGACTTGTAAAAAAAAAAGGTTTCCAGCACTCCGCTCTGGCCTGGGTACACAGTGTAATTATGTACAACTCAGGGCGTTAGCACAAATGCTGTACACCATGGTACACCCAGAGAATATAATTCGTTTTCTTTACTCGAAATGACAACATGCCTTGACTTGAAGAACTGATGGGATACCATCACAGATGTCTTTCCTTATTACAGATTACCTTTTGTTGAATTGATGCATTGATGGAGACGATCCAGTAGATTGCAGTTTTTTATTTTTTTATTTTTATGGAGGATGTACACAACAGAACAACAAGGACAATCAAGGCTTGTTTGCTGCTACTTTAAGTTTCATGCTCACGCAATCATCAGGCAACATATGGAGGATGTAGGGAGTATTACTATACTATGGGGAAGGGTACTAAGGTGGAAAATCATTGGCTCAGGAAACCCCGGGCAAAGACTGAACGTTTAACCGGTTCTTCATTAATTTGGGTGAAAAGCTTGGGAGGTGTCATGCAACAATGAGTCAATGACCACACAGTGTGTGTGCCTCCTGACCTTTCTTTCATTTTTCCTGCGTGGCTACCTACAGCCAGTGCATGCCGGAGTATGTGGTGTGATGTGTGTGCGGCCAGAAAAGAAAAAAGACCAAAAAGTAGGGAATCACTGGTCAGAAAAAGCCACTTCATAGCTGTGTGGTGTAGACCAGGCTGAATAGTGGCGGTCAATTCCTCGACCTTGCAAGCTGTTGAATGGTGAAATCCCAGCACAAGTTGCTATGGCTTCAGGGCCTGCTCTAGACATTCAACACAGCCCGGTCAGAGTGTACCTGGCGCATGCAGGCCAGCCGGGTCAGATTATCCAGCAGAAAAACAACCAAAAAGCCTGCTCAAAACGCAGGAAAACAGAAAGGCGAATTTAGTGCCGGAAATCGGACATTTTAGAGAACAAGGCGAACGATCAAAGTCCGCAAACGTAGAAGGTAAACGACATTACGTGAAGAATGCAAAGCAGTTCCATTGGATTCTGATTTAACAATTTGAAAAAAAGGAATTCTGTTTTCTAATTAGTGCTAGTACTAAGTAGTAGCAGCCTAGCAGGACCAACATGTTCACATATTAGAGCACTGGGGTGTGCCTGCAGCACCTTGTGGAGTGGCTGCTTCCTCGCGACCAAATCCACCGCCGCTCGTCTTCCTTTGGAAATGCGTCTTGCACAAAGCGCATGACATGGATACTAGTAGACTGGCATGGTCGTAGTCCAGCCAGGGTCGACCTTTTTTCCAAGAGTCTTGGAAAGCGTGAGTTCTTTTTCTCTTCGCTGCGGGCTCCATCGTCCAAATCACCAATCGGCTGAACACTTAACTTGCCACTGTGTCAAAAGCTATAGCCAAAGTTACCATGGTTACGCTTTTGACTGCCTGCCTCATCAACTTTGAATGTCCTGACTTCCTGCTCGCCGCTGGCCAGATCGCGCTCGAACCAGTTGACCCTAGCCGAGTTTCTGTCGCTTGTAGACTGTAGACTGTAGTGTGTAGATCTACCATGGTGTACGGTTGCGCTAGATTTGCAACAGATGGGGTCCGCGAGTCGTAAAACACCCGTATTTTAGGAATCCATTGTCAGTTTGAGACATTTTTCAGGAGGGTCAGACTGGACCCGGTGTTATCTGTTCAGCCAGGTCGTGCAGTTCCCCAGCCGGGCGCGTGACCCGGCTGACCCGGCTCTCCAGCAGGCCCTGGGCTTCTGCTGTAGCATCGCTATCATCGCCTCCGGCGATGGGCGTCAAAATGGTCATGACCGACTGGTGGGTGGTGTGTGTGTGTGTGTGTGTATGTGTGTGTGTGTGTTTGTGTGTGTGTGTGTGTGTGCGTGTGCGTGTGCGTGTGCGTGTGCGTGTGTGTGTGTGTGTGTGTGTGTGTGTGTGTGTGTGTGTGTGTGTTGTGATTACTGCAGATCGCAAATCCACTACTTCTCACTGTGATCAACATCAACTCCTTCAACATGGATGCTAACATTCAGTGGATCTTGGATTCGATCAAAAACGTATCTGGCACCGTGCTTTAGGTAATACCGAAGTAGAGATTACTACGTCGGATACCGAGCCAGCAACAAAATGTTAATAGAGGAAGAACACAATGAAACGAGTTATGAAGCAACTATCCACGACTGTAACAAGGTAATAAACAGTCAGAAAGTGCTGCTTCGAGCTGTAGGTAGACCGCATTGTCATGTTATTAACTCGTCTCGTCATCGTCCTGTAACATACGGCATTCTCTGTTGCCGTGGGATTTGCTTGTGCACATTTTTGCTGCGTTCATCTTCGACTCCTTGGTCCTACCTAACCTTGAACCTTCCAAGTTGGAAGGCTGTCGGTTTGCGCACTGGAGATGTGTCAGAGCTAGGCCTCAGATCGTTGAATATCTCAGTAGCCTGTCAGTTTTGTGCCCTGTTATCGCATGTTCTGACTGCTTATTATCTTGTTACAGTCGTGGATAGTTGCTCCATAACTCGTTTCATTGTGTTTTTCCTCTATTTTAGAGATCATTATTGAAGTCGAGAAGGAGGTAGCTTCCGACCTGGCCAATGTTCCAGACCGTGTTTCAGCCTTGCAAACCCCGGCACTGACTGAGGGCCGATGCTTCCTCGGCGCAGAGCGCCTCTTTCCTGTCGCGGGCAGGACATGCTGGCGACTCTTCCCTGAATGTTGGGCGTGAGGAAGTCGTCTACATGTAGTACATGTACATGGAGGACGTCACGAACGAAGGAATGGGTTCCCGGTATACATGTAACTGGCGGAAAGCGTTTGAGATCGCTTTTGCTACAACATGCAGCAGGTCTTGTGCCTGTGGCTGCGATTCTAGATTTGTTTTACTGACCATAGTACCGGTGTGTACCCTCCAGAAGCAAATCCTCCAAGCAGAGGTTATAGGCATAATAATAATATTACACAAGGGAATGGTCTCAAACTGCGGAGAGTGCTCAATGCAAGCGAGGCAGAGCTTCATCACACACAAGCGGAAAAACCGTCAGAGATCAAATAATTCCATTACACAGTGTTTCACCGTTCAAGCAACGGATCATCAGATGGATGATCAAACAAAGTATGATACACTGGTTGTATACTCAGAAGGTGTGAACTCCGTCACTATGGAGTGTGAAGATTATCATTATGTCGGGCCCCGGATGTGACAAGTCCATTTTTCATGATGCATTGTACAGAGTGCCCAGGTGCTAGATGAGGGTGATGATATTGCGGGGTGTGACCAGCCCATTCTTCATGATGCATTGCACAGAGTGCCTAGGGAAAGGTGATAGCGCAGAGTGGTGCCATGCCAGGTAACAGATATAGAGGCGCTACCAAGGCCATAGAATAATCACTGTCCTTATGTGATGGGCACAAAATTTGATAGGACATACTTGCTTTCGTGCCTGCATTTTGACACAATCTCAAAGCTCGCTACTCCAACCATTTGACTACACTCAGGCGTGACCGCTATGAGAATTCCACCGAGTTGTCAAAGCATGTTTGGTCGATGAAGCGGGACAACAGACAGTACGTCATTGACTGGAAGATCCGCGACAGGGCCACCTCGTTCGATAACACGTCCAAGAGATGCGGCCTCTGCACTACCGAGAAGTATCACATCCTCGAAACCGACGCCCGCACTAGGCTAAACAAGCGAAATGAGATTGTGTCAAAATGCAGGCACGAAAGCAAGTATGTCCTATCAAATTTTGTGCCCATCACATAAGGACAGTGATTATTCTATGGCCTTGGTAGCGCCTCTATATCTGTTACCTGGCATGGCACCACTCTGCGCTATCACCTTTCCCTAGGCACTCTGTGCAATGCATCATGAAGAATGGGCTGGTCACACCCCGCAATATCATCACCCTCATCTAGCACCTAGGCACTCTGTACAATGCATCATGAAAAATGGACTTGTCACATCCGGGACCCGACATAATGTTCACACCTTCTGAGTATATAACCAGTGTATCATACTTTGTTTGATCATCCATCTAATAATAATAATTAATATTACACAACAGAACAACAAGGACAATCAAGGTTTGTTTGCTGCTACTTTAAGTTTCATGCTTACGCAATCATCAGGCAACATGAAGATCGGGTGCCGACCTTTATTTTATAATATAGCCGTTAACTTTAAGTAGAGGAACATTCAGGAACATTCAGGAACATACAGGAACATTCAAGAACATTCAGGAACATTCAGGAACATTCAGCCCATGATATCAGTATTTTCTTGAACTATGCCGCTGTTCATCAGCCATCAACTGTTTGCCATTTCCACCCTGCAGCCTCCCATTTAGAATGGAACTCCCTTCTGTTCAATTAATTAGACTATATCCTCTGGCAATCGTGGGCCTCAAGTATACCGGCGTAATACCATAATCAATGACGACATGTTCAGATGATCGTCACAAGCTATGCAACCATCCCGCTTTGAGCAGGACAGTCCTTTGACGAGGAAAGGGCATAGAATTGGTATAATAATTATAGCATCACTATCTCCACAAAAAGTGACAAAAGAGTATGATTTTTTTCAGTATTTCCAGTGATACTCCCCCAAAGGGTGCACGGTAGATAGGCATATGCGGATAATGCCGGCAGAAAAATTGGCTGAATTAGGTACTTTTCTCGTAAGTTTCATGCATGTGTTGGTATGTGGATAAGGAAATGGAGCAGAATTGGAGGAATTGCCCGCCATAAGGTTTGTATGGTTCCGTGCCAATTTCACTGCTTTTCGAGCAGAATCTGCCACCTTTTCGAGCATTATCCGCCAATGCCTACGGGTAGACCGAAGTGCCTGTAACTGCCGTGTCCGGATAACCCAGGTATGGGTGTAGTACTGTACTACCAAAATGCAACAGGCCCGTGTCGGTAGCAGTTCAGTTGAACGGTTTGGTTTCAAAGCTTGCTCCAGGCAATAGCACATTGCTACTCCATGCTAGTCAGAACACTTATGATCACAATCATGTATTTAAATATTCGACGATGCGAAAACAATCTAAAAGGTAAGGAGAAATACGCGTAAGGAGAAAAAGCGATGGAATATATTTTGCACCTCGTAACATGTTAAGACACCTAATTGACTTGAGGAGAGGGTGAGTCCAACCACGGAAGAAAGAGAAAAAAATGAAAAACAAGTAGAAAGAGGACAAGCAATGAGAGAGATAAAAGTGTTGTTATCGTAATAAATAAGATGAACATGCATGGTCAACATACCACCGTTATTTGGCGAACCAACGAATCGAGAAAAGCGAAAAACTAATTCTGCTGAATGCATGTCGTATTGTGAGTGTTCCTACGAATGTGTACAGGAGGAAAAATGTAATGATTATAAGAAAGATAGGAATGTTAGCTATCTGGTATCAAAGAATATGGCACATGTGTGTGTCTCCACATATCTCTCAGTAGGACTGTGTTCTTAGTAAAAATAATCGGTTGTATGTTGAGCTCCTGGAACCCCTAAGAAACTGAAGGCTCTCTTTCGCTCTCGCAAACGTGTCTCTTTGTTTTGCATTCCCCTCGCTATTACGGCTCGTGGGGTTATGACCAATTGAGAGCTGCAGTACTATCTCGAGAGACAGCAAAGGGGACAAAGCTCAAAGTATTTGCTGAGATCTTAGTAGTCCGGGTAGGAATGAGACCCGAGCAGGCGTACGGACAGCATGGTGTTCAGAACGCATTCTGATGATTACAATGGCTCACTTGCTGTGCCCCGCCACAACGGTCACACTCTGTGGACGAGGCGGCTGTCGACGCTGAACAAGATGCACACGCACGCTATTCAGCCTGGATGGGCAGATCTGTGGGCAGCAAGCAGAGTGCATACAATTACAGCATGTACACATGCACGCATAAACCACACAAACAGAGACGTAGATGCATAAATGTGCACACATATAGCATGTACAACACAAACAGATGTAGATGCATAAATGTGCACACATATAGCATGTACAACACAAACAGACGTAGATGCATAAATGTGCACACATAGATCAATTGCTTCATCGCAGACACACATGGTGCAGGTGTTAGACGAAGGGCACTCTTCTAGAGCACGCCGACCAAACAAACTGACTTTCAACTCGCATGGCCGCATCTCTTCCTCTCTCTTTCTGCATAAAATCGGAAGGCTGTGGAACTGCTTTCCACCAAGGCAGACATCCCAAGATTCACTTTCTAAACTTCAGCAGCAATATCGCTTACACGTGAACACTTTTAAATTTGACTGTAGTGGTATATCCCTGGAGATTTAAACTACAATTGTTTTATTTTGAACAACCCAGCCCTGTGTTTATTGCTCATTATGTAGCATATACTGTGACACGTGTAGTTTTCCTCACTGTTTATTTCTATTGCATGATTTGCATCAGGAGATCCCCTCGACAGGCCATCGCCTCTGGGAGATCCTTTAAAAATAATAAAGATTATTATTGCACTTTAGGTCCTTCTGCAGCAACAACTGTGGAAGTCCTCCACGAGTATACAGCTACTTTCAAGCTTTCTGTCAAAGTGAAGTACAGGAATACATGGACAAACGCATGCAGCTTGCACACACACACACACACACACACACACACACACACACACACACACACACACACACACACCGTACCCACACACACACACACCAGGGGCGTAGCCAGGATAGTGATCAAGGGGGGGGGGGGGGTGCCACGACTCCCCCCCCCCCCCCCCCCCACAAAAGTACATGCACTCAAGTTTTTGATCCGCGATACGGGGTGGGAGAGGGGGGGGGGGCAAAATTAGCCCCACATTTGACGCTGAAAATCAATCAGTGAATGGCAAGCCTCCAACCAGGTAGTAGTAATATGATGTATTACTCCCTGCTTCCAACTAATAATGAGCTTAGCCCTGGATGGTGCTTTCTCCAGAATCATCACACTCTCCATCGAACTTTCAAAGTCAGATTTCTCAACCCTTTTCTCTTCGTCGTGTTTGATAGTGCAGTAAGGCATCCTTGATCAAACATACCCCATGATGATATTTCCCACAAAAAAACACAAACTCCACTTCAACGTTACTTTCACTGTTCTGCTTCTGTACCGACCCTTGAAACACATGAAAGAGTCTTCTTTTCTTTTCCACAACCTCCAATGCAAACACTCAACCATCAGGACTACATGCACTTGTACAGTCATGTACATTATGCAAAACATAGCGCGAACAAACTGCTATGCCTGATGTGTGTGTTTCCATGAACTGTGTTGCTACTTCTACCCATGGCGTGCTTGTATGACTCTTCGCTTCTAACAAAACATGTGGAGTGCGATACAAATCATGTGCTGAGTCTGCTGAGGTCTGACGTAATGCTGCACAATGCTAGGTACGAAGCGGAGTTGCCCTTGACTAGGAGTTTCATTGCAAAATGGTCAATCATCAGACAAAATAGTCAACTGCAGTACTACAATACCTACTACTTCCTAGTCTGAACAACAAGGTTTGCTACTGTGCGCGATGTGCAGAGTTGCACATGTAATCAGCGGCCCGCATATTATGGTCTCTCTCGAACCAGCTGCGTACCATGATCGAAATTCTTGAGGGGGTGCTTTGGCACCCAAAGCACCCCCCCCCCCCTGCCTATACCCCTGCCCACACTCAGACTCAGACTCAGACATGCCCATCGCAGAAGCGATGATAGCGAACAGCTATGTTAGACATAGCAACTTGTACTGGGATAATGGGGTTACACCATTCAACAGCTTGCAAGGCTGATGAATTGACCGCCACTCATTTTAGCCTGGTATCCACCACACAGCTGATTGAAGTGGCTTTTTCTGACCAGTGAATCCCTATTTTTCATTTTTCATCCTTTTTTGACACACACACACCACACCACATACTCTGGCATACACTGGCTGTTGGTAACCACCCAGGAGAATGAAAGAAGAGCTAGGAGAATGAGAAAGAGAAGAAAGACGTGTGCGATCATAATCGTCGGGAATTGAACCCGCAACCTCTCGATTGGAAATCGACTGCACATACCACTGCACCATATGGGACACACTCACACGCACCCGCCCACTCCCGCGCGTGCACGCACACACACAGAGCATGTGCACATTTAGAGCAAGTGATTATCTCCCTCCTAGCATGATGAAGTTTGTCATCACCAAGCTCTTGCCAAACACAAGCAGACAAAAAGATGGAAAAGGAGAGAGATAGATAGCTAGAAAGGAGAGAGAGAGAGAGAGAGAGAGAGAGAGAGAGAGAGAGAGAGAGAGAGAGAGAGAGAGAGAGAGAGACACACACACACACACACACACACACACACAGACACACACACACAGAGACACACAGAGAGAGACAGTGAGAGAGAGATAGAGAGAGAGAGAAAAAAAGAGAGAGAGAGAGAGAGAGAGAGAGAGAGAGAGAGAGAGAGAGAGAGAGAGAGAGAGAGAGAGAGAGAGAGAGAGAGAGAGAGAGAGGGAGAGAGAGAGAGAGCCTGAGAGAGAGCCTGAGGGAGGGAGAGAGAGAGAGAGAGAGAGAGAGAGAGAGAGAAATAGAGAGCGAGAGAGAGAGAGATGGGGGAGGGGGGACTTGGAAGTGCATTGGACTTACAATCTTCTCGCCGTGATCTCGTATGTATGATATGTGCTAGTACACCATAGGTGATGGCTAAGACACCACTAACGCAGGCAATGACCAATCCAGTCGATGCATGCACCTCATACACGGGTGACCTGAATTTCCGTCCGACATGGACCATGCAGCCTGTCATCAGTGCCATGAGCACGGCTGAGTGAACACAGGGAAACGTACGCAACAAAAATCATTTTAAGTATCTAGTCATCTAGTTTTAGTGGTTTTATCTCATGTTTTTCAATGTGTGAGAAATCATTCACTATTTTTTTCTTTCTTTTCTTCTTCTTTTTAGAAAATTGGGTGTTTCTCGCATACCTTCATTTGCTGTTGCTTTATGCCTTCTTTTTGATGGTTTCTGTTGCTCATTTGGATTGAAATAAAAATGATTCGCCTACTCAGTATCTAGAACTGCTCCAAGATTTCAAACCAACCGGGCACACGTGTACCTGGCACAGCCCATGCAACCGGGTCAGAGCCGGGTCTGTTCAAGTGCGGCTACCGCATGTACATCGGAGAGTTGTACGTATTTTAGGATTCCTTGATCAAATCATCTGCGAGGAGATAATAATTTTAATATAGCTATGAATAGGATGAAGGACGCAGACATCACGCAACTACGTTACTTGTTCGACATGGATGTGTATTTTATAAAAATAATAATTATTGAAACCCAGAATCGATTTTCTCGTTCCAATCATCTGTGGGGAAAAATACGGAACTAAAGGATACCAACCAATAAAAGTTAAGTAATCGAAAGGTGTTAGAAATGCCACATAAAATCATGATACAAGTGCAATAAAACCACTAGAGGAAACGCAAAAGGTAACAAGATTACGTAACCAAAGGTGAGAAGGCACTGAACGAAGTGTCAACCTATGAATACAACCTAAGTGCAACAACGTGCTCTTTCTATTACTTAACTTCAGTTTCCGGCATTGGCTGGTATCCTTTAGTTCCGTATTTTTCCCCACTGATGATTGGAATGAGAAAATCGATTCTGGGTTTCAATATTATTGTTATAAAATACACCTACACATACAAGGTGTGACTGATGATTTTTTTTCTTTCTTTCATATCTGGCTTGCAAGTGTTGAGTTTCAGAGAGAAAAGAGCAGTACGTGGCATGTGGCCTCTAATTTCCTAAAACTTTGAAATTCTCCGTGAAGTCCAAATTTGAAATTGCATTATTTGTATTTGCTCGCAGTGGACATAGTTTGATGCGCTCCCCATGATATCAAGAAAATGGCCGAGGGCCCTCTTCATTGGTGTGAGTTGCCAGTATTATATGATGCAAGCCAGATATGGATTGATCGAAGAAGGATAGATTTACTATCACTGTGGATAAGAGTCATACTGTAGCTCAGTTGGTTAGAGCATTGCTCGCGAATAGCAAGGTCCCTGGTTCGAGTCCCGGTGATGTGACTGGTGATTTTTTCTTTCTTTCATATCTGGCTTGCAAGTGTTGAGTTTCGAAGAGAAAAGAGCAGTACGTGGCATGTGGCCTCTAATTTCCTAATACACATACATGTCGAACTTAATAGCTATATTCCTTGATCAGTGATGTGTATTGTATTCCCAACTGCGTGACAGGTGACCCGGGTGACCCGGTTGACCCGGTGACCCGGTGTTCTTTTCCAAGCGGGTCCAAGTACCCCCCAACCGGGTCGCTGACCCGGCTCTGGAGCAGACATTGCACCAGAATCTAGAACTGCTTTGCAAGGACAACACCTTCTCAACCATCGCCACTTTCGTTCCCTTTAAAAACGAAAAGAAAGCCATCAGCACCCCATATACTGCAAAAGCAGAAATGTTCGGCGGTGTAATATTTTCGGTATTCTCCAAAATTGGCGGTTCGGTGGAGTGAAATTTTCGGCAAAACCCGTTTTCCAGGTAAGTCTACTAGTAATATAATTATGTATACAGTACCGGTTGTACCGAAATTTTCGGTGCGTTCTATTTTCGGTAAACATTGTCGGGACCAAAGTTACCGAAAATAAAACACCGCCGAAAACTTCTACTTTTACAGTCCATGCGTTTTCTCTTGACCGGCGCATAATGCATACAACTGTCTTATCACGAGCAATCATCCATCCGCTATAAGGGTACAGTGCTGCCGGTCGCAGTAGGCCTGGCAGCCAGCCTCGCAGCCTAGACTGTTCTTAAAAATAAATGTATTACAGTCTATGCACAGTTGAGCCACCGTGTATACATTGGTATGCAGTGCTCGGTGAAATTCTAGCCTGCTGGTTCTTCGGCGCCCGACAGTTCTCTACTGAAATTAGGCTGCTGATCTTTAGCCTGATCATAACACAACAATGGCGACGATGACGACGACGACGACGGCGACGATGATGACGGCAGCAGCAGCAGCAACAACAACAAAAACTGAAGCATAAGGGTAGGCCATAAGAGGATGATATACGTACCAGACATGAACACAAAGACTTGGGGAGCAAAGTAGACCCAACGTGGAACCTGCATTCTTTGAATGATAAGCGATGAAGCCATGGCGAAACCAAACGTTATCATGGCTAAACAATGGAATGCTTCTGCAACCTTAATTCCACCTACGCAAAAACAAACACACAAAAAGCATCAGCATAGTTGTAAGCCTGTAATCCATTTATGATAGACTGTGATGGCTGGCAAACAAATGCCATGGTTATCTTGCCCCGGCATCTGTCACAAGGTGACTTTGCTGAGGACGAAGCCCAAGGCGCTATAACAGACCCTCTCCAGAGAGAAGGAGAGGGAGAGAGAGAGAGAGAGAGAGAGAGAGAGTGGGGGGGGGGAGGGAGAGAAAGAGAAGAGAGAGAGAGAGAGAGAGAGAGAGAGAGAGAGAGAGAGAGAGAGAGAGAGAGAGAGAGAGAGAGAGAGAGAGAATGTACGGAGAGAGGCAATGCTGCGACAGTCATTAATTATTACACCTCTGGGAAAGAAGAGGGTTTAGGAGATCGAAGAAGGAACTACATGTAGGGCTGCAATGAGTAGAGGTTTGGCCGGGTAACAGGTTGGTTGGTTGGTTTATTTTAATTCGCACAATAAACGGGAACTAGGCCCAGTGATATAAAGGCGAATGGATAAGCCACATTTAGGAAAGAGAGGACAGGAATTAGACAGGTCCGGGTATCTCTTTCCGGGTAGCACGGGTACCCTATCGGGTGTTTCTTGTGCACACGCCAGACAGTTTCTTGGGATCGGGAGAGCTTGATTTGACTGAATTTGACTGACACTGCACAAGAGGTAAAATTATTGTTCTTGCTGTGAACTGAAAGAAGACGACGACTAAAGCGAAGCGGGTCACGTCACGATCATGTGAGTGCAGACCAATCTGCAGAAAGGCCTTTTCTACGTCTCCACTTATGGCTACCGGAGAAAGACGAAAACGAAGAAGAATACCGCAAAGGTCTGGAACAAGATTGGGGCCAGCGTGCAAGCAGTCGTTGAGACTGGCGAGTTTTTCGGAACATTTTGCGGACGCATCATACACTACCCTCAGCTTCGTGGTAGTAGCAGTAGGTTTGAGTACTGAATGGTGTGGAAGGTAGTGAATCTGGTTGGTTGTAAAACCACGAGGAACATCTTCTATCATGCCCCTGTCAAGCTGGTCTTGAATCACGGTATCGTACTGGTCAAGAAGTTCCGGATGGGCTTCGAGGCGACGCACTTGTGCCTTCAGGCGACCGAAAGCCAGACCGTAGTTTGTCGGAAGAGGAGGATGTGAGTCCCTCCAGGGCCAACTCACCGCGTACCGACCCTCGGCAAAGGAGATGGAGTTGGCGAAGCGCTCGCCCACAAGATCTTGCGACGACGTATCGTCAAAAGTACCCAAGCTCTCTGTCGACCAGAACTTACGGAGGTCGAATTCAGGGTCCGTGTCTGTTTGATGAGCAAGACATGACTGCGCCTCTGTGGTGGCAGGCACAGGCAGACTGCCGGTACAGATAAAACCAAGAACGGAGTCGAGCAAGACCAGACCACCGCTTAGTTCGGTGCGGTCCTTGCCGATAATATCATAATAGTGATCGAGACCAATCAAGACGTCTACGACCATGGGCTCTGCGCTGCTGGAGAGCGGTTCTGCAAGTGGCAGAGACTGTAGAAGAGGAAAAGAAGAAGCAAGTGGACATCGCGCAATTGGAGCGGTTATGTTCGGAAGTACACTGGCCTGAATCGCACGAGTGGACCCATCCTTACACTGCATGGTCAAACTCACCTTGGCGTACACGGTACTTTTTCTTTTGTTGTTCCCAAATGTAGCCAAGGAGAGTGTTTCATTTCCGATTGTGGGCAAATCGAGCTGATCTCGATAAGCTTGCGTGATGTATGTCTTGGTGGAGCCGGTATCAAAGAGAATACGGCCATTGATCGGCTTCAGCTTGGAGGAGAGAAACGGTGCCACAGCAGTTTGCATCATGATCTGGTGATCGGCGTTTGCGACCGTGCTCGTGGCAGGCTTGGGTTTGAAGGACTGAGCATTCGGGCTCATAGTGGAAGCTTGCCTCTGAGTGGATGCGGCAGTGAATTTATCTGGACACAAGCTGCTGTGGTGTGCAGGATTGTGGCAATAGAAACACCGCCGTTTGCTAGAGCAATCGTGCACGGAGTGGCCTGATCGCAAACACTTGAAACACCTTTGTTTAGCTACGCTCTTCCTCGCTTCTACTGTAGTGTACTTATTGCATTCGTCAGAGAAATGTGCCTCCGAACTGCAAAAAACACACACTCTCTTGGGCTTCGCTTTTGAAGTAGCTGAAGCTGAGGCAACAAGAGATTGACCGGACGCACTGGCAGATGGTGATTCGTGCGATTTTTTCGGTGGCTGGCTGAGGCGATCTGCTGCTTCATTCGCTATTATGAAGTTGGCTACTGCAGCGCGCAAGTCCGAAACGGTCCAGGATTGTGGCCCCTTTTTTAATTCCAAAGCCGCTAGCGTGGTGCGTGGCAATTTGTTCGTAATCATTGACACAAACACCGCCTGATTAACATTCTCACCAAGCGCTGTGAGGCTTCGCAAGTGCACCTCCAACGCATCGTGCAACCTACGCAAAGATGGAGTAGCGTTGGACGCAGGCGGTAAGTCCATGATTGCCGTGTAGTGTGCATTGACGCGAAGCTGATCATTCCCGAAACGTTTGCGGAGAATGTCAAGCGCGGTTGTGTAGTTGGTATCTGATATGGGCAAGCCAGCTATGGCATCCCGAGCCAAACCCGTTACGTGATCTCTTAGGTACGACAGTTTCTGGACACCCGACAACCCTTGATTCGCATCAATAGACGCAACAAACATATCGTGAAACTCAGCCCATTTCAGGAAATCACCAGAAAATGTTGGTATTTCAAATTTGGGCAAATTGACTGAACTTGTGGGAGCTGGTTGTGGTTGAGGTGATGATGCTTGCATGTGTTGTACGACTAGTTGGTGTTGTTTGATTAGATCCTCTTGCGACTGTAATACTTGCTGGTGTTGACTATGTGTAATAGACTGCGTACGAACAAGATCTCCTATTGACTGTTGGATGCTGGACAAATCAACCATACTAGTTTCTTGTTTGATACCCGCACTGCCCGTACTCTTGGTGCTACTTGGTGAGCTAGTACTAGTAGTAGCAGCTTCTGGACGGTTCGTCTGGGCTCTGTACTGCGGAGATCGCTTGCATTCAACAATTGACCCTCTGATGCGTACCGAATACGCAACCACATCGCAGATCTCCGTTTGCAGAGCCTCATCTGAACCCTCCAGAGTCTCCGAGTCCAAAACACTGGCCAATGCATCACACGCCTCATCATATGCGTACAATTCTTCAACAATACAATCCACAAGTGTACTTAGCTTTTTTGGATCCGAGTCCACGTGTTCTGGCGACAACTCGTCGGCCCTTTGACCTCCTTCCTTCGATAAAAGGAGTTCGGCCTCTTTGACGAGTTCGTCGATGGATCCTTGCAGCTGCGCGATCTTGGCCCGGCGCATGATCTGCGTGCCGGTCGTCACTGCTCTCTTCGGCATGTTAGCTCGACGACCCAAATCGGGCAAGCTGCTTACAAATTATTTGAGTCGAGTCTATCTTTCTCAAGATTGGAATGGTACGCACGGCTCGTTTCGAGCTCCGGTGCGGTTCATGTCCCGGGTTTCGGCACCACTTTGTGCACACGCCAGACAGTTTCTTGGGATCGGGAGAGCTTGATTTGACTGAATTTGACTGACACTGCACAAGAGGTAAAATTATTGTTCTTGCTGTGAACTGAAAGAAGACGACGACTAAAGCGCAAGGCGCTTGCGCAGAGAAAAAAAGGAGGAAAAAACATGGAGAAAGTCGCCAAGAGGTGAGTGAGTCAGTAGAAATAATAAACACGCGGCCCAGCTTCGGTGTGGGAACGCGGAAACAAAACCGGGGTAGAGAACACAAACTATGACGTGTACTGCAAATAATCTCATGACGTTGAACATCATGTCAACGTCGTGACATTTCTCTTTTCTTTTCTTTTTTACATAGTTTGTACAATGAGTCTGCACTTGTGCTACATAGAAACCCTGGTGTACAGTAAGCACGTAGTTTTGGTTTTTACATGCACCGTTGCAAAAACACTGTACTCCAACCACCTGATCGGGTTGTCAGGAGCAAACTGCTACCCGACTGCCTGCTCTAATTACGGGTAGCATGGGCACCCTACTGTGACTGTCAGACCAGATATTTTAACGTCAATTTAAAAAAAGTTAATGATCTCCGGATTTTTGTGGGTTAGCGAGGTGAAATTCTAACGAATTCTGTCTCAAAACCGGCAAGTGAGTGTACATGTACATATAGTTTTGTACATAACGACTTCAAATGTTAACGAATTGTTTAAATTCGTTTTAAAATCGTTAGAATTTAATGCTCGTTAACATTGCTGGCCGTACAGTACTCGATGACACCCCTAAAGGGAATGCATATTATTTCTTCGCTAGCAATGTCGAGTTACCTTGACATTTGTGTACTGCAAGAAATGGCGTGGACCATGTGCACAACCACGCGTATATACCGTAAAGTCTTGCATAAAAGCCGCACTTGAATAGAAGCCGCCCTCGAATAGAAGCCGCAATTTTGGGGCCCATCAAATCACACATAAGTCTGGTTTTAGTGCTGACATACATAGAAATACCTGTCTTGTATAGAAGCATCTCTCATAGAAGCCTGCAAAATTTCACCAAGAAAGTCATAGGAGCCGCGGCTTTTATACAAGACTTTACGGTATATATATTATAATATGGTTGTATTATTTTTTTCTTCCAGAATCCGCTGCTCATCGGATGCTCCAAAAACGTTAGGGCATGGAACGAGATCAGATTGGTGACGTGGCATGGGGGGGGGGGGGAAGGGGGGAGGGGGGGGGGGGGGAGGGTGGCTGAACCAGCCATGTGGTACTAGTCTCTACTAGTGCTGCTGATACAAGCCAAAAAGGCTAAGGCTGCGTTTACATGGAGAAGAAACAAAACAAAACGGAGCGAAAACGCGCGACCCTCGCATTGTTTTTAAACCCATTCCCACGCAAATGCAAACGCAGCGGTTTCGTCCCGTTTTGGTCGCACTTCGTTGTCGTGTAAACGCAGCCTAAGACACCATGGCAGCGTCACCCGCCAAAGACAAGACACATGACTACGGCTGCTGCTGCGTGTCAGCCACAACGGCAGCAACAACATGACTAGAGTTGCTGCTGCATGGCAGCCACAACAGCAGTAGAAGCAGCAGTAGCAGCAGCAGTAGCAACAGCAGCAACAGCAGCAACAGCAGCAACAGCAGTAGCAGCAGCAACAGCAGCAACACCAGTAGCAGCGGCAGCAGCAGCAGTAGCAGCAGTAGCAGCACCAGCAGCAGCAGCAACAGTAGCAACAGCAACCACAGCAACCACAGCATTAGCAGCAGCAGTAGCAGCGACAGTAGGAGCAGCAAAAGTAGCAGCAGCAGCAACAGCAGCAACAGCGGCAGCAACAACAGCAGCAGTAGCAGCAGCAAAAAAACTTACCCGGCGTGCTATTGGCAGCACTGTAAGTGCCACAGACCTTAGCCGGAACTCCGAGTTCGTTGATGATTTCCACACACACTCTCCATACACCCAGCTGCATTTCTGTACCGCAACTTTCATCACTGATCAGGATAAATGGAGGGATTACTGCAACAGCACAGCAGCCCAGAGCAGCGCAATGGAAAAATATGAAAGTCAACCTCAGTAAAGAGTAAGTCAAATTGTAGATAGTATGATGGTGCATGATTGACACCTATGTTCAATGGTGCCCATCTCCAAGAGTGTGCAGCTCTGATCTCCTAGCTATGGGTGCCCTGCGCGGCTCACTGCCTTTCTTACGCAGTGAAATGACGATCAAGCTACACATCGACTGTAACGTCACTACATATCGGTAGTATTAGTAACAAGAGTACATCATATTATTATGACTTCTAGCACTAGTATTAAAATCCGGAGCATGCGCGCCACTGTTCATGGTTCTTTCCCCTTTTCCGTGTAATAATGAACTTGCCAAACTACTGCTTGTCCTTTGTGCTTGGACTGAGTTTTTACTTAACTCACTATGGTCGGTATGGATACATAACATCTACCCTTGTTAGTAGAAAACCGGGGGGGGGGGGGATTGCTTGCCAGGGGATTTTGGATGGTTGACTACTACGTAATGTGACTAGTATTGTAATTTGTAACCGATGTCGTACTATCGAGGGTAGACCTGTGACAGGATTTGAGTTGTCCTGTGGCTTAGAAGCGACGACTTCACGCATAATATCAATATGGTACTGTCGTGGACATGGAAATCCGGTCGCACGTCTAGCGGCCCCAGGGCGCCGGCCATGCAGCCGTGCGTACGCATACCGTACGCACATTCATTTATGAGCTGCAGCGAACTAGTCACACCGGATCAACATGTGCACTGCATGCAACGTTCTGTTCGCACTGACGGTGCCGGCCCCGGTCATTCCACTGGATCTCCATGTCCACGACAGTACTCGGAGCTGCAATGCCTGTGTGTCACATGAAGTAGGTACAAATCCAACAGAAGTCTCAGAGAAAAATGTACTTGGAAGTTGGAAACTGTAGCAGATCGATAACGACATCATGCTCCAGCCGATTCTCTTGCTCGTGGCTGCGTAATGTGGGCGGCGCACTGCACCACATCCCATGTGCATAGTTCAACACTCTTGGGATTTTGTCACCTGTATTATGCCGCACGGATGTGACTAGCTGCTCCCACCCATTGACGTCTGTGACCTCATCGGCCTGAATGTCGAAATAGTGCCAAGCGGGGACAATCTTCACAATGAATGCCGTTATTTCATCACCCATACATAAAAGCAGTTGGATCTGGCCAGTGTTGGACAAGACAGTAGGTCGCATTTCGTGCACAAGTTTGCACTGCATCGCCACTTGTCACGCTTTGTAGAGGTAGATGACTCTCCTCTGATGACCTATAAACCCCCCCCCCCCCCCCCCCCCCCGCAAACACACACCCGTGCCCTGAGATCCTGGACCCGCCACTGTGTAGGAGCCATGTCGTATCACAGTTTAGCTCCGCAGATAATATTATTGTTCTTCATCCGCCTGTTTACGAACACCTCACTCGGAATCGTACGGACATTACAAGCAATGATTTCGCGCAACAATAGGTTCTAGGACCAGACTCGGTTGTGACTTACCAGAGATGGTAAACATCAGCACCATCGCCAGCGCTGCCGTGGCACAAAGCAAACAGTACAGTACACTGGCCATAGCATGCCCCGGTCTAGCTCTCTCGCCTTCTCGACCCTCTCAACTGGTGGCGGACGACGACACTACTCTGGGATTGGTGACAGGATATGAAAGAAGGTTCGCTTCCCTTTGGCGGAATGTACCTCCAGTCCCATTAGCACCGACAGCAAATCCTCGAAGAGTTCTAATCCACGCGAAGGAAGCGTTTGCCGGTGAGCCTTGCTCACCTCAACATTTTCGGGGCTGAGTGAAGCTCTACCGACGGCAGCCGACACTCGTCGTCAGACCTCCACGCGATGGCTGCCAATGCGCTGCCACCACCGAGGAGTTGTCTGTACAACTCCCTTGCCAACACTCAAGGCAACAGCCGGCTCAAGTATGGCTTCGTCAGGAGGAAGTAACTTTATAACTCCCCTGGTCATCTCCCTGGGCAGGATCAATATCGTTCCCGGTTGATGGACAAGACGTAGTTAGTTGTGAGAATTTTGTTTTGGAAGGTTCGCCGGTAGATTGTTTGACCTTTGTGTCTTTGACGTCCAAAGCTAAAAGACTGGCGTGCAACACCCTTTCGTCGACAGTCGCGTCGTTGAACCCATGCATAATGTTCAGTGGTCTGCACTTTTATTTGGTCGGTGCAGGGAATAGTATGAGCATGAGAACAATCAGTGATGAGATTGGAAGGTAGATCTCCATAACTTATGGCATAAGTCAAAACGTAACCTGTGACCCCTAGTCGGGGAAGTAACTCCTGCATAAAACTGGCCGCGCCCCACAGCTACCCTGCTGGAGCCCTTGGAGCAGGCGGTTGTACATAGGCATGGGCGGGTAATGCTAGTTATTTGCTGCGATAATGCAAGGCAATGCTCATATTATGAGGATATAATGCCACTTATAATGCTCGCACTACTCGATAATGCCAGTTTGAAAGTTGGAAAATCGATTTAAAGGGGAACTCCGGTCCAAAATCACCCCCATTTTTTATTGCGGAATCCATTAGAGTATGTCGTAAGTGGTAGAATGGCGAAAACCGGAAGCTTCTACGACAAGGATAACATACCTAAATTACCAATTGCAATTTTCCATATTTCGCACGAGGGGGCCCCCTCCCACCCTGTGATGTAAAACGTTCTCAGCCCGGTCCACTCAGATGAAATTTTCAAATAATTGAAGCAAAAATGAAAAGTCCTTGGCCATTGTTGAAGTGCTTGTTGTTCTGTGCCCTGCGATATTGTCAGCATACTGTTGGGACTCTGCGTGGCGAAGCACTCCAGGGACATGTCGCACGTACTAAGAGAATAGCAGAGTCCCTAGCACCGACCCTTGCGGAACGCCTCGTGTACAATGTGTCTCGTCTCCTCTGTTATTTCCAATTTTCACCTGTTGTCGTCGACCCTGGAGATAGCTGGAGAACCACTGTAGTGCTACTCCGCTTATGTCAATAGTTTGAAGCTCGTTAAGTACCAGTTCATGGCGTACCCGATCGAAGGCCTTGCTCATGTCCACGAGTACAACCCCGCAATACTCGCCCTTGTCCACACTCATCATCCAGCGGTTAAGTGCGATTAGCGCATCTTCACAGGAGTGCCCTCTCCGGTAGGCGAATTGCTCATCTGGGAGAATACGAAGCTCAGCGTGACCTTGAAGGAACCGTATCATTTGCCGATGTACTACCTTCTCAAGGATCTTAGAAACAATCGGCAAAAATGAAACGGGGCGATAATTCGACGCTTCAGATTTGTCGCCTGACTTGTGGATAGGACACACTGTAGCCAATTTGTACACGTCTGGTACCATTCCAGTACTCAAGGACTCGTTAGTGATCTGCGCTATGGGACCTGCAGCGGCAGGCTCACAGAGGCGTAGGAGCAGAGGAGGAATGTCATCCGATCCAGATGCCTTGACGCAGTTCAATTTTTTTTTTACAAGATAACCACAAACCGTCATGGTCCAAACGCCGGCAAAAACGCACAGAGATGCACATAGCGATGGCAGCCAAAGCAGTGGAGGCGGGGCAAGAGCAGCTAAACCGACCGGGGGTCTTGGCCTCAGCACTGCTCATGCGCGCCAAAAGGCGCAACAGGTTGCTTATCTCCAGAGCTGAAACGGCGCGAAATAAGGGGCGTCTGCGTCAGCTGTTGTCGAGATGTCAGGTATTAGGTTGCTCAAGGGTGGGCGAGGATTAGGATCAGTGACAACGGACGCAAATGTGGCAGTCAGATCGCCTAACGTAGCTTTTGGTTGTTCCGGGACAAAGTTGCGCCCTGTGAGCGAGTTTAGAAGCGCCCACTGCTGCCTTGGCTTATTCTTCACATCTCGAAACTCCCTGTTGTAATACTCTCGTCTCAGCTTTCTATTTAACAGTGTGGCTTCCCTCCTTGTTGCCCTGTAGTGTACTGTTGTTTCACTGATTCATTTCCGGGATGTTTCAAAACACTTTTCACTCCTCCGACCATTCCGGTCTCGGAATCAACATGTCATACCATAGCCCGTATACTCGGCTATTGGGTGGAAGCGTGCTTTCGCTTTGCATAACAGTGTCTTGTCAAGCTTTTGTGTTCAATCTTGCACTTCAATTGATCATTCCATTTACTGCCAATTTTGGGTTACTTCACTTTGGTTCTTGATTCATGGTGACACGTAGTGCATACGGCCGTGGCTAGTAATGGGTATGTGAAGGCATCGGTGGGTGTTCGCCGGCCCGACGCCGGGTCCGGCCGGGTGCATGATATGAAAGTGGGTGTTTGGCGGGTGGGCATATGAAGGTGGGTGTTTGGCGGGTGGGCATATGAAGGTGGGTGTTTGGCGGGTGGGCATATGAAGGTGGGTGTTTGGCGGGTGGGCATATGAAGGTGGGTGTTTGGCGGGTGGGCATATGAAGGTGGGTGTTTGGCGGGTGGGCATATGAAGGTGGGTGTTTGGCGGGTGGGCATATGAAGGTGGGTGTTTGGCGGGTGGGCATATGAAAGTGGGTGTTTGGCGGGTGGGCATATGAAGGTGGGTGTTTGGCGGGTGGGCATATGAAGGTGGGTGTTTGGCGGGTGGGTACATATAACATGAATGTGTATATGGGTGTTTGGCGGGTATAAGTATGACGTACATGTAGGTGGAAAGGAAGGATTGGAGCAAAAGAGGCATAAATGGAGACAGACAAAAGGGATAGAAAATTAATGAAAGGAGAAACAGACAACAGACAGATCATGCTCCACGTCCTGTAGGCCTTTGCGGATAATATCGGCAGAAAAATTGGCAGAATTCGGTACTTTTTCTGGTAAGTTTCATGCATGTTTGGTATGTGGATAAAGAAATGGAGCAGAATTCGAGGAATTGCCCGCCATAAGGTTTGTATGGTTCTGCCAATTTCACTGCTTTTCGAGCAGAATCTGCCACCTTTTCGAGCATTATCCGCCAATGCCTAACGTCCTGTGATTCAATCATTTTTATCCGCTTTCATAATTATATACCCTTCTTCATGATTTTAATCATTTTATACATACATTTTCATTAATTGTACTCTTCATCATTTAGTCGGAATTAGGTCTCCGGACCTGGTGAGAAGGCAGAAATGCCTGTTCACTTGGTGAAGTAAAATAAAATAAACAAACAAGCAAACAGACCGACAGACAGACACAGAACAATAGATGTACATTTCCAGCACAAGATGGACATGTAATGCACGGGTACATGTGACATACACTTGGGAATATCCTACGCTAGTGCATAAGATATTCCCAAGTGTATGTTATAGACATGCATTCCACAAAGTACTTGGTTTGACACAGAAAATCCCTACGTTTTGACGTACGACACAAACATGTATGATAACATGTGGGCCGGGTTGAAGGGCAGGATTTGATAATCCAGCACCCTTGTTTATCCAGCAGGAAATGCCGTTCCAAAAGGTGCCGGATTAGAGAGGGACTACTGTATAATTATACTATCAAAACCTTACAGTCAAGACATGTCCGTTGTCAATATTGGCTGTTGTGATAATGTTCTTCTTTTGAATACTTCAGTCGAGGAGATCATAATTATGAAGCTTGCAGGCACCAGCATGAACAGTTCACCAGCGGCCACACTCTAACGTTATGACAAAGTATCACACGCACATCGTCTGTGACATCCAATCCACCTTGGGTGTCGACTGTCCTCGTATCTGCGGTGAAACGTAAACGAGACCTCTTCAGTGTCAGCCGAAAATTTCCAACACCTGTCAATATGGAGGCCTACCGAGTTCAACGCAACTTTGTCAAATACCTATCCCGTAAAACCTACCGCTCTTACATCAGCTCCCTCTCTGCAACAATTTCATCACCCAATCGTCCTTCTCTCTATCAGTTCATTCGCACCCAGCGTCCCAGTGTCTCTCGCGCCCCAATCCAGTGCTTGATTGATCCTGATGGCAACCGTCAGTCTGAGGCAAAGTCCATTGCGGACACTCTGAACAAACAGTTTGTCTCTCCCGGCCTTCCCGACGATCCGAACTGGGTTATCCCGCCCCTGCACCCAGCTCCAGAGCTGCGCGCTCCACTTCTGGAGGTCTTTACAACAACTGGTGTGGTCCGCAAACAACTGAAACGTCTTAAGAGCTGCAAGTCTCCTGGAAAGACGGTATTCCAAATGAAGTCCTTAAACTGCTGGTGCCTTCCTTGTCGTATCCCCTGTGCTTGCTCTTCAACTTGTCATATCGTGCTGGAGTCTTCCCATCTGCGTGGAAATCTGCTATTGTTGTGCCGATATTTAAGAAAGGACAACGCTCCCAAGCTGTTAATTACAGGCCCATCTCCCTCCTACCAACTATATCCAAGGTCTGTGAACGCATCTTCTATGAATCTCTCTACCACCATGTCACCCCTGCCCTCTCCTCTGCACAATCCGGCTTCTGTCGTGGCGACTCAACTACTTTGCAATTGACACGCTCCTTGTCCGATCCTTTACCTGTAGTGTCTGGTGTTCCACAGGGGTCCATACTGGGTACATACTGGGTCCACTCCTTTTCCTAACTTATGTGAACGATCTGCCCTCTCTAGTTCCAGACGTCAGCCTTTTTGCTGATGACACTGCATTGTTGCGCTCTGGCAGCTCGCCGTCCAAACTCGTTACTCCATGCAGACCGGCATTAACTCCACCATAGCATGGATGGAAGCTGAGGCCCAACATCGCGAAGACCGAAGCAATGTTCATCAGCCCATCGCCGCCCACTCAGCCGTTGCACTTTCCAGGAGCCAATGCTAACGTTAAAATTGTTCATGAACACAAACACCTTGGTGTTATATTCGACAGCCATAATTATGTCCTGGTCCCCACAGGTCCAGTCAGTATGCAAGCGAGCTAGCTCCTCCCTTGGCATGTTGCAACCTCACTGCCACCATTTAAATGACCATTGCCGAAAATTGTTCTTTACGTCGTATATTCTACCTATATTTGATTACTGTGACACAGCGTGGTGCGATCTGTGTCAGGCCCTTGTTCAAACTCTGGAAATACACCAGCGTCTGCTTCTAAAAATCCTGTTTCGCAAAGATCAAACATTCTCCTCCCAACGTCTCTACAGTTTAGCTTCACTATCTTCCCTCTTAGAGCGACACCAGCAACATCTTTGCATCCTTGTACACATGATCTTATTAGACCTGGCTCCCAAACACTTTGCTAAGTATAACTGGTTTGTGTCCACCAGATCAACACGTCATTCCTTCTCATTACCCCGTGCCAATACCTCCCTGTTTCTGAAATCTCCTATCTTCTCTGCGTACACTCTCTGGTCTTCCCTGCCAAGACACAGTCTGAAATGCTAAGAACGCCGCAGCCTAAAGTTAAGAACGGCGGTGTTGGTTTTCCGGCAGCTTTTGGGATAGATATGATCCAGTACGAATTGTTTCTAAGAAAGTGCTATAAGAACGCAGCCAGATTGCCCAACAAAACCCCTAACAAAACCGGCCTAACCCCTTGGAAACAACGTTCTTGGCCGCGTGACTCTACTGTAGGGCTCCCTGTTGTGAACACGGTGCCGGGATTTCAAGAGCAGACGTTGCTTTTATCAACCCATTCCCATACTATCATCCTCGTTAGCGGAATACAATCTAAAAATGAATGAAGCCAAAACCGAATATACTACAATTAAAAGAGAAAAGGACAGAGTAGACGAGCGATGGCGGAACACGGTCAAACTAGGATCGATGCTTGGAGTGGAGGAAGATATCAGTCGGAGAAAACGTCTAGCAACATGCGCCTTACATCAGCTGTGGGTGATATGGCTAAGAGGTAACCATGCCCGTGAACCCCTTCGGATTAGGTTATACGGCAGCTTTATTCTCCCAATACTTCTTTATAACTGCGGCACATGGAGCCTGACAGAGACTCAAGAAAAGAAACTTGACTCGTTCCACCGCCAGCAGTTACGAGCAGTCATAGGGGTCAAATATCCCCGTATAATACGCAATGAAGCACTGTACAAGCGCACTGGCTCCAAGCCACTCAGCAGAATCATCCAGTCTGCTAGGTGGAGAATGTTTGGCCACATGCTTCGACTAGACACCTCATCCCCGGTCCAGCAGGCTATGTCGGCATACTTTCAGCCAGGAAGCTCAGGGTTCCGAGGCCGCCCGAGAACAACACTCCCGCGATCCATCAACAACGACCTGAAAAATTCCAGATCCACAAACTCCCTCACATCACACGAGGATCTAGTTGCACTGAGGCAGCTCGCCCAGGATCGTCGAAAGTGGAAGGATCTAATGTGTGCTGTGTGTAATGGCTGAAGTTATACAATTACACTAGATACCCTTAACAATAATAACGGATACAATTACACTAGATACCCTTAACAATAATAACGGATACAATTACACTAGATACTCTAGATACTAGAGACTCGGTACTCTAGATACTAGATACTCTAACAATTTTATCAAACATTATGATAATTACCACATCAAATGCTGCGGAGACCTATCCAGAATCGGCAATATGCTGGCCCTGGCCTGGAGATCTGCAACTATAATCAGCTTCTACTTTGCAACACTAACGGATTAGTCCCCTTTGTCGATTGATGGATCAATCGGTAGATTCGGCTCTGTTTTTCTTCCCTTTCTTTCTTGTTTTGAATTGTACGTTGAACTCATTGGATTTCTTTGTATTCTGTATCTCGTTATCGTTATATTTCCCTCTAGCCCTCTCGCTTAGGATGAGCTTTCTTTTTTATGGCAGCTTAAGCGAAGGCTATATACCTGCTTTATGCAGGTTGATGCCAACGCGAACAAGCAAAATAATAATAATTACTTTCCGACCATGCATCTTATGATTATTTCTATCGAACACGGGCGTTCGATTGATTCCAAATCATCACACTATTGTAACCTGGTCAATTCTTGGTCGTTTGGAGAAAACGAAAATGGCAAGAGTACATAAACCCATAAACCCGGAGATTATGACTGCACTCTCGTCCACAGGTATAACGTCCTGCATGCTTCCGACACCTCAAGGCAAAGGCAGATTTCGCCGTAAAGCACGATGTAGAATGTGACTGGAGGCAGAACACTCCCTAGTGAACGGCTGGTGCTTTGTGTATCGAAACTAGTGAGTTTCAGGTAGAATTCATTAAAAAACTATATCAAAGAAAGAAAATAGCCAGAGAATATAGCCAGAGAAAAGAGTCAGAGAGAAGAGAAACCAATAAGAAAATAATTTTACGACTATGGCCTGAACTCCAAGCTGATGATTCCAGCACCTGACTGGATGCACATTGTAGCACAGGATGTCATGCTGTTGCTGTTGCCGTAGCCATTGCAGTATTTGCCTGTAAGCACTCCCTGATCGGATCTAGAGTGATTGGTCTGTCAGCAGTCAACACAGTGCATACAACATGAGTACGCGTGGACCAACCACATGCACGTACACACACGTACACACACACACACGTACACACACACACACGTACACACACACACACACGTACACACACACACACAAAGCACATCGAATCTGGTAAGCCCAAACCTGTGTTGCACAAAACTATCCAATCCAAAAAAATGCAAAATTATGAGTACAAAACCAGTTTCCATTTTCACGATACCGGTAAGCCAGATGAAGGAGTGAAAGTTACAATCGTTGTGCAGTGAACTTCCATAATCTGGGCTTTCCTGATCCGGGCATATCCATTATTCGTATGCTGGCCACCTTTCTGTTTCCTTGCATGCAATACTGCGTGCTCGGCCCCCCCAACTAGGGGGGTGCACGGGAGCCGAGGGGAGCCCCCCCCCCCCCCCCGGCAATTTTCTGCAATTTGTTTGCAACCTTTCTTGAATTTTAGAGCATATTTGCATACATTACAATTGCAATTACCCAGATTGAAAATGTTTGGGGGGTGCACGTGCCCCCCGTGCCCATCGCCGAGCACGCGCCTGAGTATTAGTATGTGGGTTCTGAGTTACAGGAAATTCCTAGTTACAGGCATGGGGACTGCTCGGTGCAAACCTGCTCGGTTTAGGGGAGTTTTGTTGTACCGTCAAGTACAATTCGGGGTTATTCCTTGTTACGGGCGGTGGTCAGTTGCAAACCTGCCCGGTTTAGGGGAGTTTTGTTGTACCGTAAAGTACAATTCGGGGTTATTCCTAGTTACGGGCACTGGTCAGTTGCAAACCTGCCCGGTTTAGGGGAGTTTTGTTGTACCGTAAAGTGCAATTCGGGGTTATTCCTAGTCACAGGCACTGGTCAGTTGCAAACCTGCCCGGTTTAGGGGAGTTTTGTTGTACCGTAAAGTGCAATTCGGGGTTATTCCTTGTTACGGGCACTGGTCAGTTGCAAACCTGCCCGGTTTAGGGGAGTTTTGTTGTACCGTAAAGTACAATTCGGGGTTATTCCTAGTCACAGGCACTGGTCAGTTGCAAACCTGCTCGGTTTAGGGGAGTTTTGGTGTACCGTAAAGTACAATTCGGGGTTATTCCTAGGCACAGGCACTGGTCAGTTGCAAACCTACCCGGTTTAGGGGAGTTTTGTTGTACCGTAAAGTGCAATTCGGGGTTATTCCTAGTCACAGGCACTGGTCAGTTGCAAACCTGCCCGGTTTAGGGGAGTTTTGTTGTACCGTAAAGTGCAATTCGGGGTTATTCCTAGTCACAGGCACTGGTCAGTTGCAAACCTGCCCGGTTTAGGGGAGTTTTGTTGTACCGTAAAGTGCAATTCGGGGTTATTCCTTGTTACGGGCACTGGTCAGTTGCAAACCTGCCCGGTTTAGGGGAGTTTTGTTGTACCGTAAAGTACAATTCGGGGTTATTCCTAGTCACAGGCACTGGTCAGTTGCAAACCTGCTCGGTTTAGGGGAGTTTTGGTGTACCGTAAAGTACAATTCGGGGTTATTCCTAGGCACAGGCACTGGTCAGTTGCAAACCTACCCGGTTTAGGGGAGTTTTGTTGTACCGTAAAGTGCAATTCGGGGTTATTCCTAGTCACAGGCACTGGTCAGTTGCAAACCTGCCCGGTTTAGGGGAGTTTTGTTGTACCGGTAGTTCCAAAGTAAAGGTTTTTGTAACCCAGTACTAGTACTACTCGTACAGTCAGACCTCACTTATCCGGTCCTCTTTTATCCGGATCCCTCGCCATCCGCCGGATCCCTCGCCATCTGGAAGAAAATGGCTGGTTGCAGATTTACAGCATACGTGATGCTTCCAACATAAACGGTGTTCGGTTATCCGGCTCCCTCGCTTATCCGGATATGTTTTTGTGGAAAACGGATATGTGCGGTTGAGCGAGGTCCGAATGTACTACCCAATCCTTCCCAGCACTGCTTCACAAATACATCATTGGGCACCCTGTAAGAAGACCTTAGGGTCTGTTGGGAATGCCCAAGTAAAATAATAAAATACAATACAATACATCACAAGTTTGAGATAGTATAGTATAGGATTTATTCATATTTCTCTAGGGCAGTCCCCACAGGCCTATGGTCTCCTCACGGGGTGCCCTAGCCAATCTAGGATTGCCATACGAAATTGACTTGGTGAAGCAGCAAGGCGGACCGATGCCGGAACTGAGTTCCAGCGGTCAGCGGCTAAATAATAAAACGAGATGAACATTACATGTCCACTTCTCTATGCTTTCCAGCAGTAGCTAGCTTTTACCTCCGACTTCTTCCCCTTTGACAAGGACTAGCATGTCGTGAGACGTGGAATGAAAATAGAGCAGAGCTCGCTGCAGTCCTCACAGTTAGTATGACAATCTGACTGTCATGCATTAAGTCAGTCTAAGTGTTTTGATCTGCCACCCGGGTATTACAGGCATGATGGTGGCCTGGCACAAGCGAAACTTCCTAAGCTGGTTGTGTTTCTCAACGCTATTGTATAGCCGGTTGTAACACGGACGTGCAAAGAGAAGAGAAGTGTTTTGTTGGTCCCAAAGCTATATTGCAATCAATGAAGGAAGGCAGTGATTCTGAGCTCAGCTAATGAAATCTGGCGAGATCGAAACGGCTAGCCATCCGGAGATTGAGTAAAAGACGAGCTAGCAATGGAAAACCGTAAACTACTCCATCCCTACATACCCTGTATCTTTTTTGTTTGTTTGTCTCCACACGTCTCTTGGTAGGGCTGTGTTCTCAGTAAAAAGAAGAAAAAATCCCATCCCCCTCATCCACCTCCTGGTCACCCCATGCAATAGGTAGTGGGCATAGCACAATGGTGATGAAGTGTTTGCGTAGTCCTAGACAAATCCAGACTACTTTAAAGGAACAGATCCAATGACACAGCGGAAAGTGTTTCTACTATCTCTGTCAGTACACAATGGAGAGAGAGAGAGAGAGAGAGAGAGAGAGAGAGAGAGAGAGAGAGAGAGAGAGAGAGAGAGATAGAGAGAGAGATAGATAGAGAGAGAGAGAGAAACAGTGAGACAGACAGACAGATAGAGAGAAAGAGACAGACAGGGACAGACAGAGAGGTAGATAGCACCACAAGGCCAACTTACACAGTCCAGTGGACACCCTGTTGTGAGTAAAGTGCGCCAGAACAGCAGACCCGATGGCCGTGAGAACGCTAATGCCGGCCAGGACCACTCCAGCACCCGCCTTTGGTTTGATAGGCGAAATAGATTTCTTGGTGCCGTGCACCATGACTCCAATCAATACGATCAATGACACGGCTGTGTGTATATCAAGCAAGAATATACAGGACACACACACACACACACACACACGCACACACACACGCACATACACACACACACACACACGCACATACACACACACACACACACACACACACGCACACACACACGCACATACACACACACACACACGCACACACACACGCACTTACACACACACACACACATACACACACATGCACACACACACACGCACACACACACACATACACACACACACACACACACACACACACACACACACAGTGTAACTGTCAACCACCTGTTCTTACCCATGCCAAAAACTACAATTTTAGTAGGTGAAATCCAAACCTTATCGCATGAAACTAGAGTTTTGTAAGCAAAACCTGACCCCAATTGTATGGAACTAGAGTTTTGTATGCAAAACTTGACCCCAATTGTATGAAACTAGAGTTTTGTATGCAAAATTTGACCCCAATAGCATGAAACTACTTCTGAAGTACAGTTTTGTATGCAAAACCTGACCCCACTTGCCTGAAACTACAGTTTCGCTAGTGAAATATAATACTCACTCAATCAGAGTCCCCTCTCCAACACTTCATGCTGTCAGCAAATTGAGGCAGGGAGTGTATCAGGTAGTGTTGAAACGATCTCACCGGATACTCGTTAGCTCGCTCGCCAGAAACTCGGCTCGTTTGTGCGGCCAGCTCGTTTGCACTAACGAACACCGTAGTCCGTACACATGGCAGTACATGTCGACCGGGGAGTCGTAAAATATTTTACGACTCCCTGGTCGATCGAGAGTCCAGTCTCGCGCAAAGTGAAAATCACTCGCAGTTACAGTGACTGTATGCCTGCACGACACTTGAGTTGTTTCAGTTGTCGTTGCAGCTTTGGTGGACTCTACTGATGTCTTGTTCCGCATCTGCTGACCTGTCGCAGGATATGCTTCGGTCACCTCTCCATTCGAGTGAAAGTTACGCTCAGTAGTTTGGAAGTTTTCTCCCGCGATGCAGCGAAGACCAGGGCTACTTGCAATCTTTGCAAAACGGTCTATTCTTACAAAGGCTACTCGACGACGGCGCTGAAAAGACATCTCGAAACCAAACAGCTGTCCGAAGTGAAGCAGCAGCAACCCCAAATGCCGGCGGTGATAATTTGAACCAGCTGAAAAAAATCGAACTTAGAAAAAAATTATTCAAAAAATCATATTTGCCACATCAATGAAACTCGTTAGCTCGCTCGATAGGTTGCTCGTTAGTGGAACTGATCGCTCGTTTGTTATAGATACGCTCGTTTCAACACTAGTATCAGGAACATCAAGACTCCACTAGCCAGGCGAGCAAGTGTGTTCTTGTAACAACAGCTAACAAAGACTGTGATGCCATGGAGCGTGTGTGCGCGTATTAGTGTGTGGAGATGGGGCGTCAAAGGTCAAGGTGTGTGTGTGTGTGTACACCTTGAACCTTGCACACACACATATACACACATACACACACATACACACACACGCACACACACACACGGTGATACATACCAGTGACGAGGGCCAGCACTCTGGGGACAAAGTGGACGACACGTGGAACAGTCCACCTTTGGATGACCAGTGAAACAAGAATGGCAACGGCGAAGGAAAGGAGCGCTATAATGTTGCAAGCTTGAGCTGTATGAACCCCTTGTGGAACCAAACCTTGCTTTTCGTCTGCGCAGAACACCATAGGAAGATAGGCGACAGAAGAAGAGGGAAGAGCTACGAATTACAATGCTTGCAAGACTGGGCTTGATGAACCCCTCCCGTGGAATTAAAATACGCTTTTCGTCTGTGCAGAACACCGTGTGAGGACTGTCCACAGAAGAGCTACGTATTACAATGGCTGCAAGCCTGAGCTTTATGAACACCTCGCAGAACCGAAATACAACATCTTGGGGAGAGCGGTGCAGAAGAACTAGCGATTGAGATATTAATTTATTGTATTTGTATTTATGGATTCACCACAGGCCAAAAGCTGTGTTCACAACTGGCGCGTGTACGCGTGAAACCACGCGTTTGTGCATATTTTGCTGGCTTTTGGGGCGCCATGCGTACGGAAACGCGCCGAAATGGAACTTCCAACATGTTGGAATTTTCAGCGCGTATCAGGCGCGTACCAGCGTACATGCCAGTCACCTTGACAGGCGGGGTCAAAAAATTAGTACTCGAAGGTGTCGCACGCGCTAAATACGACTCAGATTGCTGTTTTTTTGTGAAAGCCTGAGCGCGCGTTTGGGCATGCATGAACCGCAAGCGTACCGCGTACACTCGCCAGTTGTGAACACAGCTTTAGCGTAAATCGAGGGGAGTCTCTGCCAACAGCTTATGAAGAAGAAGAAGCTGAGGAGAGAAATAAAAATGAAAGATAGAATGATGCGGAGTGGTGGTAATTTTACCCTTTGCTGCCCCTTAAAATGTATGCGTTCTCGGCATACCCAGATCAGCAGGAAGAAAATCACGCATAGCTCCAACACGAAGCATATTGTCAAATGTAAACCTATATTTCTGGAAGCAATAATTATATCCCTAGGAATCTAGCGAACTCAATTTGATCGACATGTCGCTTTTTCAATGTTCTGTCGAACCGATAGACGTGTGTCGGTTCAAGTATGCGTGGGCAGCAAAGGGTTAACACAGTGCTCTAGATAAGTTCTCAAGACGCGCAAGCACACCGCTATCACCACCCATTCCATCCAAACATATTGTACCACACACACTCTTAATTAAGGGCAGCCGCAAACTACATTGTAAATCAGATTTTCAAAGTGGCCCGAAATGTTTGGCATTTGCAGTATGCAATGTCTTCAGTGTGCCATGTAGTGATGAAATAGCGGAAAAAAAGTAGCTGGTCACCATCAATATTGTGGAGTAATGAGCAACCCAAAATTGGCCTTTGCAGGATTTTCCTGAAATTGCCACTTATTTTGCTCAAAATGAGCAATTATGAGAAATTGGCCAGAAAATATTCCCTTGTTTTTTACAAATCAACTCTATCAAGTGCAAGATACTAGTAAAGCCAAGAAAGGTGACTGTTTATCACAAAAAAAGTGTTTTGATTTCCTTTCCAGCTACATGTGGTACCTCAAAAATGGCCTTTGGGCTCCACCATTCATGTATACAGTAAAGTACCGTTGATCCGCCCCCTCTCTAATAGACCCATTGCGCAATGACGTAATTTGTACCATAAACAACCTTCACAGCCACCTGAGGGGGGGGGGGTCGTCTGGGGTGTTGAACAGTGCACTCCTGATCCCAGCGTACTCAGAAGCATTCCTCATACATTCCATATTTGGCTGTGAAGGGTGTTTTTACGTCATTGCGCAATGGGTCCATTCCCGCCCCCTGTCGATTTTCTACCTGTGAAGCGATTTCGCCGTATACACCGAAATACGATGTTGAACCGACGCTTGCACTGCTGTGCACAAAGCGTGCCAATCCAGGATGAAAATGTGCACAATTCAGCACATCGAGTCTGGTCCTCCACGTTGTTGTGCATCGTACTGCACGTCACAGCTTGATCTAATTCCGGCCACCTGCCGAAAACCTAGCTGGGAAGCGACATGGCGTGGGGGAGGATCAGCGGTACTTCACGGTAGTACCTTAAAATGGCCGTTGGGCTCCACCGTTCATCTGTACTACTGAAAGGTGTACTTGTCTAACGCAGTGTCTGTCTGCTCCAAGATTTCAAACCAACCGGGTACACGTGTACCTGGCACAACCCTTCCAACCGGGTCAGAGCCGGGTCGGTTCAAGTGCGCCTACTGCAATCGGGTGTTGTAAATATCTTAGGGCTCCCGGATGTATAGTGTATTCACAACCGGGTCCCAGGCGACGCGGTGTTCTTTTTTCCAAACGGGTTCAAGTACCCCCCACCCCCCAACCAGGTCGCTGACCCGGCTCTGGAGCAAACACTGCTAATGACTCGCAGACTCCAGTGCAGGTATTTACACATCAGGGTGCCTCAACTCTAACCCTCAACATGGTCTTTTCGCTCGCTGCATACGTCACAGCGAATGCATATGCAGTGAAGAGGCCGTGTTGAGTATTGCGTAGAGGCACTCTACTGTACGGCATGCAAAAAACGGGCAATTTTTGATTGGCACGGAAAACTTTAGCGAAAGCACTCCTTTCGCTAAAATCACTAAAATATCACCGGCGCTAACATTAGCCGTTATGCAGGTACATAATACTACAATCATGATGTTTTGGGACGGTCACCCATCGTAAGAACAATTTACGGTACATTGCATTTGTAAAAGAATTTACTTGTTGAACGGTCTCTGCTGGGATGCAGACTGCACCATAGCTCAGTGGTGAGAGCATCGCTGGCCTCAAGCGAAGGTACCTGGTTCGAGTCCTGGTGGTGACAGTCAACTTTTTTCTTCAGATCTTTCCCTCAAACCAGTGCATGGGAATTGAATGCATGGTTCATGTAGATGCATTCCTCTGTGTGCACAGTACGCATTACCGTAATGGACAGAGCTTCCCACCAAAGAAAGCAGGGCGAGGTGTTCCTCTCAACTAGAGTACCACTGGAATACCCCCTTCTCCCCTCCCCATACTGTGGGCACAATACATCACTTTACCTGGGTCAGGAAATACCACCCCCCCCCCCCCCACCCCCGCCCCAGGGTCCCTTCTGCACTGCGGTACAACACATCGTTTTACCTGGGGTCGTCAAGTCAGAATAATCGCGGCAGACTCGGGCGTACGTGTATGTCTGGTACGTACTCTCGCTTTTTGCACATGTTTTCCATATTCCATCTTCAATGTCCACCGGAAAAGGAATGTAAGTACGGTAGGTCAAGAAGGCTGGAAGAACTATAGCAACAGCAGCACACAAAGAAGGCCGGAAGAACTATAGCAACAGCAGCACACAAAAGAAGGCCGGAAGAACTATCTCTTATAATTTGCTAAATCCTTTATATAGGATTTTGGTCATATTTGTCAACTCAAAATGGGTGTGGCATGAGAATAGCAAAAAGTATGTGACCAATTCTTCCTTGCTAGGTCTTAGTAGATATCGAGAGTTGAATAAGATAATTTTTTCCAACACTTACATCTCAGGCTCATCTCCTTGCCCAATATTACTAAGGCCTGTGCCCTATTTTTCGAATCCTATATTATATAGGATTTGAGATTTTATTGGACCTTGTTTTATCCTTAAAACTGGTAGTTTCATGACGGCATGTGCGATATGTCATCATGAAACCACCCTGTGCCACACCTGCAATGTTCTTCTGCACATTCATTATTTGGTCTAGATCGTTTGGCATCCATGTATTGCAAGAAATTACTGTATCTGACGTGGCGCTGTTTGGAAGGCCGCTGTAGCGTCACATTAAGTCAAATGTTCGAGCGTTTAAATAATGGTCTTGCAACGCGCAGCCTTGTATCACGCACTCTTAAGTTGCCCATGCTCAGAACTGCCTTTGCCCGTCATGGCGCTTCCTTCCAATGTGCTAAGCTGTGGAATGATTTACACCCTCTAGCTCGCTGTGTGGATAACTCCACCCGTTTTAAGAAACTGTTACCCCAATGCCTTGCTTTTTCACGCTAGTACTTATGACTTTCAGCTATGCAAAATGCGAACATGTTCACCTATCCAATACCGGTAGTCTATTATAGTAATTATTCATATCTTTTTGCATCTTTCCCTCGAGTGGGTCTATTGTTATTAGGCAATTGTCTGTTATAGTCACCACTATAAATAAAAATCCAATCCAATCCAAATTCACTGCTTCAGTCCTTTCCATGACAGCAGCTGAACAATTATGTTCAAATTTCCAATTATTGCTGAAAATGGGTATTCATCAGAAATATTATCGCCCTATGAATCTAAAATGTAAACATTCATGCATCAAACATATTTACAACTTCCATGAAAACCATTATGCCGTTATTATTGGTCGTGATGACCAATAACAACGGCATAAAAGGCACACATTTTCAAATCCTATATATAGGATTTTTGGCCAGCAAATTAAGAGATAGCAACAGCAGCACACAAAAGAAGGCCGGAAGAACTATAGCAACAGCAGCAGCACACAAAACAGACCAGTAGCAAAGTGACACAGAATAATTGTCATCTCGTGATGCACAGGAAAAGGGCCGAAGACCGAATGCCTGGGTTAGAGTCCATGCCATCGTGGGATTTGAGTAGGACTTCCTACGAGCGGAGTCGAGCATCTCTGCACTGTGGTACCTGCCAAGAACATGTCCACGGGTCTCTTGTATAATATAATTCAAGTATGGCAGCCGTTCACGGGGAAACGTGTGTGCTTGGAACAGGAAATTCCCCGTGCACATTCCACGGGATTTCTTTGCAGGAATGGATTGAAGAGCAGAGTCTCTTCTTTGGCCAGAACAGCAGAGTATCACATAAACTGACATTACATCTATCCGCGGCAACGTTTTACTGAATAGCACGCATCGAGAGTTGCATACAGGCGATTTCGAGACTTTCAGCCACCGAGATTCTGTCAGATTTGCACAAACTACCGTAAAGTCATCAATAAAGGCCGCAGTTTATAGGACTTTTTGGGGGGAATTTTGCAGGCGTCTACACGAGACAGGCTTCTACACGAGACAGGTATCTCTGTGGAAAATGCGGTCTCTAGCCGAGTCTCACCCGAACCGTGATTTTTTGTTGCCAAGACTTTAACCCTTTAGGCTGCAACCACACTAGGTACAAAATCACGTACAAACGGCATTACAGTAGAAATCGTCATGCCGACGTGTGCGAAATGCAAAATGCGCTTTGTAGGTTTTCAGCAACTGGCGCACCTCTGTAGAAAGCCATGTTTGTCGTTTTCGCGCTCCATCTCCTGTGTACAACTTTGTTTTTGTACCTGGTCGTCGTACATAGGATCAGCATCAGCATTGTTTTTGAATTTCCCAGTCTTTTCCAGCGCATGGCACATGCTTTGGTACGACAACGTCACGTGCTGGTCGCGTGAAAACATCATCTATGCTGACCGAAAAGTGTAGTGTGGTTGCGTACCGACTTGTACTGAGATATGCATGAAAATTTGTACTGTGATTTTTACGTAGTGTGGTTGCGGCCTTACCGTTTTAGGTATTTGTACAGCAAAAACCGACCGTCATTGTTCATGCCGTAACTTTTTTATTTTTCAATTTTATTATGTACAACAAGGGTGATTCTGAAAGTGAAAACCCTCAGGAATGCGATGCAACAACTTTCAAGTCCAGAAAACGAACACAGATCTCACTATTTAGCACTAATAATTATTTGGATGTATTGCCGATTGGGCAAACTGTTGCAATATGCAACGAGAGAGCTTGGAAGCTCAGGGCCCTACGCTATGCTTTTTTGCCTTGATGACCTAGACAAAAAAAAAGCATAGGGATGTTATAAATTCTTTAAAAAAATCCTTTTTTTTAGACATAACCGGAGATTCGAACCTGCACTATCGCGCGCCCTGCGTGCATCACCCGATACACTTCGCATACATACTAATTCTTCCAAGTTGTTTCACATTGTGATCTTGCATTTGAAAGCCCTATTTGAATATGCATTTTGGCCAGCCGTCTTTGATGGCAAGGTATGGTAGGGGATAGGTATGGGACAGGTACGATCGAGGGTAATACGACACCGTCTCCCGTACCGTACCGTACCATCAAACACAGCTGGCCACATACAGCTGCCCGCAATATTCAAATAGGGCTTTCAAACGCAAGATAATAACGTGAAGCAACTTGGAAGAATGAGTATGAATGCGACGTGTATGGGGGAATGCACGTAGGGCGATAGTGCGGGTTCGAATCCCAGGATTTGCCTGAAAAAAATAGGAGAATTGAAAAATTTATAACATCCTATGCTTTTTTGCCGTCAGATACGGATAGCGCCAGGCGTGACACAAACAAACAAACACCAAATTAAAGCTGTGTGGACCCTGGTTAGCGCCAGACGTTACTGAAGTAACGTCTTCTGCATAGCTACGGGAATAAATCAGATTCTTACACTGGAGTGGCTCCCTCAGGTAAGTGGATACCAGGTTCGCTCTCTGGGTGGAATGCAGGAGTGTTACCAGTCACGGCAGTGTCAGCAATGTCCCAAGTATTGCAAATATCGACTAGTGCAGGCTGCACCGCTGGCTGTACATAGTACCTGTGCACCACGACCTCTACCATGACGACAGCCTATTCCACGGCCGAATCCTCTCTCTCTCTGCCACGTCCCCTTCCACCGTTAGTGGCACTCATCTCAGCGACACTGTCGTCGTCTGTGACATCCATGTCCTTTTCTTCAGGTATTGTTTTACAATGCCGGCCCATCTGTTTTGGTGGATGTCCGTGTGGCTTTTCTTGTTCGATATTTTGCAGTTATCTTCATGATTGCTACAGCAGGTCTTATTTATTTATTTATTTCACTCAACTCGTGGTTCATGACCAATTGGCACGCAAAGTGCGAGAGAGGGGTGATAGCCAACCACGGCAAGAAAAGAATATAGAAAAAGAGAAGAAGGAAGGATAGACAAGTCTTATGGTGCACTCCCCCCCCCCCCCCCCCCTTGGATCTTCATCCTTCCTATGCCCCCGTATCCAAGTTTGGATGCAGACAAGAGAATGTGTACTCTTGATAAATATTCAATGGAGGCGAAAGGCTACGATTGTAGCTGTAACTTCAAGTTTCATGCACCAGCCAGCGATCATCAGACAGTGGCATTTGGCATTTGAGTGAATCCCAATATTAAAGCCGCTGTCTGATGAAACGCGTGAAACTTGAAGCTACAGTTTCACAGCCGTTCGCTCCCATTGATGGGTGCATACTGCTCTGCACATGTTTTTTTATTGTTTTTTTTTACAAAGACCACTTAAATGTCAAACATGAGATGCAGCTAGGGGAAGCACGCATAACACGAATCGTGGCAGTGGTGGTGAGATTTAGGGAGCTCGTGTATTGAGCACTCTGCTTCGAGCTTCCTTGGCCGGCCTTGTTTGTACTTTTCATAGATACGTCATGTATAAGCCTTGCTTGACAGGTTCACATAGAATACTACTGACATAGGTACGAGACGAAACAACTAAACTTCGGCCAGTAAGACTAGTACTAAACTACGGTGTTCACTTCGTCTTGGAGGTTAGACGTGGGGAAGTTGCCATACAGGTGACTTACTTGAAACAGTGAGCAACAACACCATTGTCAACGATCCCACTGCCACCATCGAAATCTTCATACAATCTGCCATCTTCTCAGCCTTCTAGTTTAAACCTCACGGCGGTCCTCTCTCAACTGCAGCTAATGACACTGCGGGAATACTGGACGACACTACGTGCCAAACTATCTCTCTCCTTGCGTAAATGCGCCTCCCACTACCAACGCAGGCGAAGACTCGACGTGCAAAGAGGAGACAACCTTTGAGTTCAAGTAGTTTGAGCCAGGGAGTAGTACAATACGGGTATTGTGCTACTCCCTGGTTTGAGCCAATGTTGGTTAGCTCGGGTTCAGTGTTGTACCGTACATCTAGACTGTACAGTCTGTAGCTACAAGAGTGCATAAACACACGTTTATGGACTCTTGACTCGACTTTGAATAATGCACGTGGTGCGTAGATCTACGGTATGCCAAAAACGCGCGCGCGGGAGGCTTTCAGTGCATGCAGCTGCTGCAGCAAACCACCCCCACCCACCCCCCTGCCCCGCGCCCCGCCTTCGCCTTCCAGTTGTAATCCGGCCAGGGAATAGTAAAGTACCCAGGCCAAGTGTTTTTACATGTATCAGGGAGCTCCCTGGTTTTTACTACTCCCTGGTTACATAGGCGAAGGGCTACAATAGTAGGGCCGCGGTTGTCATTTGCCCGCAAACATCTCCACGAAGCAGCTACATAGCTGCTCACCACACCACTCACCAGATCAATACCAGATCTGGGTCCTCATCAGTCAGTACGAGCTCAGTAGAATCGAGTCGAGCGAGTGCCAAGAGGCGGTCTCAGACCGTGACCAACTACAGAGTAACCCTCCAACCAGGGAGTAGTACAATATTAGGGAGGTTCCGGAGTACGATTTTTCGTGCCAAAATCCGTGGAGGCGCTACGGATTTTTTATACGTCGTTTTCGGGCAGTGAAAAGTTCCGGGGTACGTACGGAACGCGAAGGACTAAAGGGACCCTCACTTAATTTTTACCGACTTTCGCGGCAAAAAACACATTTCGACACGCGTGTGTGCTGGACGTCTGCGCGTGCACGACAAGACGTGTGAGCTGGCCGGCTGACAAGTGAGAGCCAGGGAGTCGTCAAGTACCGGCGTTTGACGACTCCCGGCCTGGTGAGAGCATGCATGCATGCATGTCCAGCTGGCGGGAATGGGAACCTATTTTGTAGATCGATGGGTTGAATGTGAAATTGTGGATCTACACGAGGTTTGTTTTGATGTTGACAGTTCTGATACTTGTTGTAATGGCTAGTGATCTTGCAAACTGTTAACTGTTACTGTGACTTTTCCAAGTCCTACTGATATACCTTGTCAAATCAGATGCCCTGTAGTACTCTTGGTGGAGGCAGACTGGAATGCGTTGAATTCGTAGCTTCTGAAATTGAAATTTATTTTTTCTTGAGTGACACTGACAAGCGATGGCATTGGCGACAGGAGAACTTTGCTTCCTTCCAGGAGAGCTGCATCGCAGTCGGATCCTGTCCATGCACATGCGATCATGCTGTGTTGTAGACAGTGGAGAGCTAATTTTGACCCAAGAAAATAGTTTTGAACATTCATGAAGAGGATATTGTTGCTGTAGCTAGCTGACAGACATAGCCTGTGGCAGTGGTGTATGAAATCAGCTTGCAAGGTCTGTAGCAACTTGATCATGCAGAGAAGGAGCTGAACTGCACACGCACTCGCTACTGCTCTCGCAAGATGATTGGCTTCTCTCCAGTGATCCAGCCCCCTCAACGCATGGATCCACTGCGCTTTGTCGTCGAACACATCAACACGCCTGTTGACGTTCACTGGGAAAGGTATCACTTCACGATGAGGAGCACACAGCACTCGTGGAGGCTTGTGCCGGGTGAGTGGCTTCTCTCCAATGATGCAGGCCACCTGGAGGCATCGGGCCAAGTGCGTTCTTTGCCGCAAGGGCCATATCAAAACAGCAACACCAGCAATGCCACCACTTCCCGACTTCAAGACAACTGGACCACATCAGTCATTTGCCATAATTAGTGTCGGCTATGTCATCCCCTTCTATGCACGCCAGGGTCGAGATCGGTCACAACTCAAAGAGATATGTATGTGTGTTTACATGCCTGCTGACTAGGGCTTGTCATTTCGAGGTTATCTCTGGACAACGACGGTTTTCTCCTGGCTCTTAGACCCCGATTCACCGTGCGACGTGGTGTGCCACAAGAGATGCAATCGGACAACGGTACCAATTTCCGTGTGGCTGATCAAGAGGTAAAAGCAGCTGTCAAGTTTCTCGACAACTTCAGACTAGCAGCAGAAAGGTCATACCGCGACATTACCTGGTACTTCAAGCCACCAAGTGCACCACACTTTGGTGGTGTGTTCTAGGTAATGGCCAAGGCAATGAAACTAGTGCTGCATGAAGACCTTCAGCTGCTATTGCCACAACACTTTCTCATTGGCCATGCTAGGGCAACTGTTGCTGCTGAAGCCAACACATCTACAATGCCTCAAGCTCACCCAAGAAAGCGCTGGGAGTTTGTGCAACGTATTGTAGATCAGGTATGGAAACGTTGGCTGAAAGAGATTGTTCCGAAGCTAAGCATCCAAGTGATGTGGTTGCTTCAACAGCATCACCCTAAGGAGATATCGTGCTTGTGATGGATTAGCACACCGCAACTGCACACTAGCCACTTGGACGTATGCTTATGACCTATCCAGGTCGTAGAGTAACGTAGAACATGCACAAGTGTAAGCTGCATGGAACCCTTCACATCTCGCTTCAGCTCGTTCTCTGCCATGATCAAGTTGCTACAGACCTTGCACGCTGATTCCATACACCACTGCCACAGGTTATGTCTGTCAGCTAGCTACAGCAACAATATCCTCTTCATGAATGTTCAAAACTATTTTCTCGGGTGAAAATCAGCTCTCCACTGTCTACAACACAGCATGATCGCATGTGCATGGACAGGATCCGACTGCGATGCAGCTCTCCTGGAAGGAAGCAAAGTTCTCCTGTCGCCAATGCCATCGCTTGTCAGTGTCACTCAAGAAAAAATAAATTTCAATTTCAGAAGCTACGAATTCAACGCATTCCAGTCTGCTTCCACCAAGACTACTACAGGGCATCTGATTTGACAAGGTATATCAGTAGGACTTGGAAAAGTCACAGTAACAGTTTTACAGTTTGCAAGATCACTAGCCATTACAACAAGTATCAGAACATCAAAACAAACCTCGTGTAGATCCACAATTTCACATTCAACCCATCGATCTACAAAATAGGTTCCCATTCCCGCCAGCTGGACATGCATATGCATGCTCTCACCAGGACGGGAGTCGTCAAACGCCGGTACTTGACGACTCCCTGGCTAGGCTCTCACTTGTCAGCCAGCTCACACGTCTTGTCGCACGCGCAGACGTCCAGCACACACGCGTGTCGAAATGTGTTTTTTGGCGGGTAGTCGGCAAAAAATTAAGTGAGGGTCCCTTTAGTCCTTCGCGTACGGAACTTATGTGTTTGCCGTCATTGCCTAGGTTACGATCGCAAACACGTCACATTCCCGCGCTATGCCTTTTTATTTTGAAAATTTGTACCGAAATCAAAACTTCCCGCGAAAAATCCATGTTTCTCGTACCAAATTTGTACGCGAAAAATCTTTCTGCACCCGATGACGCAAAATCTCCATACGAAACATGGTTCGTGTGAAAGCCAGTCCACACGGATTCTCCGTGCCGAAAAATCGTATGGAGCACGCCTGGAAAAAATCCGTAGCGCCCATACGGATTTTGGCACGGAAAATCGTACCCCGGAACCTCTCTATTGTACTACTCCCTGCCTCCAACCTCCGAGTACATGTACTTCGAAGTACTACTTGAACACCCGTGGCAATGACAATTGCAAATACGTTGTGCCGCTAATATTATAATTAACTTTAGGGTACCCTGAAAAAGGCCCTAGGCCTGTGGGACTGCCCTATTAGACGCTCCACAAGCAAACCAAGCACTGCCGCCTGAACAGTTCGCCTACAGAAGACAACACTCCTGCGATGACTTGCTAGCCTTGGTGGCGAATGACTGGCAGCAAAGTCTGGATGCCGGTAAATTTGTGGTGGCAGCGTTTCTTGATATGTCGAAAGCATTTGACACGGTCAATCACAACATGCTCCTGCAGGAGCTTTTTGAGATCGGCGTCGGAGATAGCGCCCTGCAATGGTTTGCGAGCTACCTACGAGGCAGGCGGCAGCGAGTGGTAACACGTACGTCCAGAGGTGAACTGTACGAAGCTCACAGGGGAGTTCCTCAGGGATCCACCCTCGGACCTGTGCTCTTTAACCTATCTGTACGCAAATTGCCCTCGGCAGCATCTTCCAGCATGGTGCGCCAGTACGCTGACGATGTCGCCCTGTACCTAGCAGGCCGCAACCTACAACAAACTACCGAAGAACTGGCCCGAGATGTGTGTCGTATCAGGGACTTCCTCAGTGAACGAGGACTAATCCTGAATGCCAGCAAGACCCAGTTCATTGTGTTCCACTCCAGATCGAAAAAAGTATGCTCCTCCCTCCGACTAACCATTGACAATGTCTCAATTCCACCAGCGACCACCGTCAAGTACCTTGGTATGACCTTTGACCAGCACCTGACATTCGCTGACCACATCAGTGCCCTTGAGCGAAAGGTAGGCGGCAAGCTAGCTGTGTTTCGTAGAATCCGTGACCGTCTAACAATTGACGCAAAGAGAACCTTCTACTGCGCGTTCATACAGGCTCAACTGGAGTACGGTTCCAATGCTTTTTATCACAGTCTGCAGGCTGGGCAACAAGATCGCTTGACTTGCCTCAGCAACCGTGCAGTTAGAACTGTTTTTGGTTATCCAAGGTTCTGTGACATTTCTACTATTCTAGCCAGATACTGTAGCGGGCCGCAGTCTCTCTCGGAGGCAAAAATACAAGGGTCTCAGTGAACACACTGTAATTGGCAATTGAAATGTACTGGCAACTAAATTAACTAACTGGCTACTAAATTAACTGACTGGCAACTAAATTAACTAACTGGCTACTAAATTAACTAACTGGCTACTAAATTAACTAACTGGCAACTAAATTAATCGTGAGCAGCAGCTTTTATGCAAAGGCAGACTCCGTACGCTAGTGTACGGGGATACGCTAACGTATGGGGACATCTTCACTAGTTTGAGGGATGCACGGTTGAGTGTTTTGTACGAGTCGTAGTTTTTGGAGCTCTGCGTCGTGAAGTT